ATAGTAGTTGTGTTCTGGATCGTGACTGTGATCTGGATCGATCCGGTGATCTCGATTGGGCTTGTGATGGTGATCTGGATCGTGAAGGTGATCTAGATCATTGTGGTGATATAGAATGATGTGGTGATCTGGATCGGCGATTAGGTGACGAAACCTGAAGTGTTGATTCATGATGAACGTCCCCCGGCGACGCTGTTGTAGCCAGCTCCATCCGGTTCAATGAACTGTGGGGAGACAGTTGGCTGGTTGAACGGGGTTGGCCAGGCTCCAAACAAACTGAGACAGTCGAGGGGATATGTACCGATGATCTGGATGATGATAGTGTCGATCTAAGGTCCCCTGGTAGTGTAGATGGGACAGGCAACGAAGAATTATCGATCACAACCACCCGCGATTGATCTGACGCTATGGAAGGAGGTGATTGATGCGTACGTAATAGGTGCTGAACGTCCTAAGATAAGTAAGAATCTGATGAAGCGTCCATAAAATCCTCTTGAACCACAGATGTCGCTCTCTTGCGTGAAGGTACGATTTTCTGTCGCTGTAACTTGATACACTTGGCGGGAGTGGGATCAGATTCTGTTGATATCCTGTCCCTATCGGCGATTCTCCGTGGGCAAAATCCTCATCTTTTAGTGAATTACACTTGCCACATTGTTTGTTCCAGTTACATTGTCCAATACAGTCACTGCAAGACGAGTGAGGGTCGAGGGTCGAATAATTCGTCTTGCATTGAGCACAAACTTTCCTTTTCCTTGACTGTTTATAAAGTTTTCCCCATGATGTTAGGGTGAAATAATATCCCTAATATACAGCATGTCCACAGAGCCGTGCCACAAGAAAGAGAATGATCATTCAAGGTAGTCACGTGGGCAATTAGTGGAGCATGCTGCAAGCATTATTAGGAACTAGGAAGCTAATTAAGGAGAGCAGCATGGAGTGCACAGGTGAATGGACAAGGAGGCCTATGGAAAAAGGTTTACAGTCGTTCCACTAAAAGTCGAAGCAAGAGAGAGAGGTGCAAGTCGTGAGATAGGATAAGTTTAAAATTATTACCATGTTAAAATATGTTTTATGAAAGTATTGTAACAGCCATAGACATATTTTTCTACTTTTCTTAAGAAAATAACTCACCTGTCTCACAATCCCATAATCTGCAGGTGTTGTCTGCAGCACCTGTCATCACCTTGGTGGTGTCCCCTGGTCAGAGGTCAAGGACATTCAAACTCTACATCAAAATCTCACAAGGATATCCAAGGAGAAAATGACAACTTGTCCAAATTATGATACTAAGTAAAACAATAAATATATTAGGTTAAAATAGTAAACAAACATTTCATCTCTGACTACCTCCAATATATTTTGTAAGTAGTTTTGTTTAAGCTCCTAAATTAAAGCTGCTGTATAAGGATGTGTTTTTGTTAATTAAAATGTCACAATAATTAGCTTTTGGTTGTTATGGGTCACAAAAGTGTAATTTGAACTCGCATCTGAACTTAGGCTGTGTAATTTCACCTGTTTAGTAAATTAGAGTTACCTGCCCTTTGTTATGCTTCTGGCAAAGGATTGAGAAACTATTCAATCATTGTGTTGAGGCGTAGATTTTGCTGGATTGCTCCTGAACTGTATAATAGGCATATAAAAGGATTGTTGCTGAGAGGTAGGGGGACTACTACTTGTGTCTGCTGACATTGATGCTTTCAAGACCACTGTCGTCTACATTGATCTCCTACCACTCGTCTAGCTCCCAACAGCTGTCAACAATCTTCAATCCGTGCATCTGTTTACCAGAAATATCAAGACTTTGGTGAGTTTATATTTCAGATTTGTGACCCAATATATTAGATTTGTGCTCCAATTGTACTGTATTGGGATTCTAATCCATTATTATACTAACATTTGTACAGCGCCAATATCCAGCTCAGTTGATCAAAGGTGCTTTGATTTTTCCTTGATCATTGGATGTCGAACGCAAATGGCGCATCGTATTATCAATCTCAACTCCATGGGGACCATACAACTCTTGCAGCCACTAGGCACACCGAGTTAATGTGGCTTTCGCATCCTTACAAGGTACCCCTTTACAGCTGTACCTGCAACTAGGTGTTTGCACGTATTCATGTGGCCACAATCTGGTCATATACCAACAGATTCGTGGGTTCTTTTAAGTGCACAGGGTTGTGTACTGTATACTAGGGGTTGTGACAACACTGAGTGAGTCTGCACGCAAAGTTAACTCCAAGGTTTTTACGCCCGGTCACAGGTGGGCTCAATCCTGACACCTCAAGCTCGCTGGATCACAAGCATTGCTTTTATTCAATATATAATTAAACATTATAGACTTGTCTGTGTTCTATTTTGCTGGTTCAAAGGGCACTCACAAGACTTTTTGTCACAGTAATTTCTAAACCGTAACACCACACTCATTATTCGAGTACATAATGGTGATGAAGTCTGGACCAGATGATCCAGTGACTGACATCATGAGCAATGACAGGGTACAATGATGTCATCAACGAAAACACCAGGTCCAATCCATTAAATCCACACAAGAAATGGGCTTCACACACTGTTCCCATGCAGGTTATCAAACTCGGGTCTTTAAATCATGACAAGTGAACGCTTTATCTACTAGGTAACCCCACCACCCCCTTGATTAAGAGTATGGCGACAGTGATGATTAGAATTTCTTTTATCTATCAAAGCAATGTTACTACCTTCAGTCAGTGCCAAAACATTTTTATTCTTCTTGCCTGAAGTTGTACATAACCATGATTTTCAGTAGATACGTTATTAGACTATTACTACCTAAGCCTAGTTGAAGACAATCATAAACAAAGTGTTGCAAATAGTAGTTTCAAGGATCAAAATTAGTAGTTTGGCCATAAGATTAGTAGTCAACTAAATCATGATGGATTCTGAGAAAGATAATATGACACTCATCAAGAGTGACGCTAAATTTCACATACCTCCAATACCACATTTCCAAATTATTAGCATTACATTTCTTCTTGTCTCTTTTTGGCAAAATTGTATTTAATCCATATACTTGTCTATATATATATATATCCGACTTTAAATGATTTTTTTCCAAATTTTGTAGAATTTTAAGTGCAATCTACATGTTCAGTTCAGCAGTTCCAAGGATACAGTTAACATCAATGCACCAAACTGCACCATTGTGTCCCTGGAAGGTGCCAAGTCTTTCACCATTCAATGAGTACCAAACATTTGGCTCTTGATCCTTGGCTGATGAAAATATCAAGTCTCCTTCTCGGCTGTATTTCAGTTGTGTTATGGACCTCTCGTGTCCTTGAAGCAGTATAGGCCTCTGTAACAGCAAATACATCACATTGCAAACTTTTCATTGGAATAAGGATTTCCCACCAAATATTTGGGTTGTCGCGATTCACTGATATATATACTACTTGAAGTAACATTATAAAAACAAAACAAAACCAAAATCCACCACTTGTTTCTGCAATTTTACTTCACATTATCAGTCATGGCACTAGAATTCCAGGTAGTAAAATAAAAGAATCAGGCACTTCTTTCTGGTAGTATTGGCCAAATCTCCCTTTATCATTTCAAACACGATTGCACCTATCAATCAATTATGTTGCAACAGGCATTCGGTCACCTCTATAAATAACCATCTTGTTAACTATTTGCCACTCATAAGCTAACTAAAACATTTCATATTATATAAACCTAATCATGTAACCTACAGTTCTAATCGTTGTATCATGCCAATGCAAAATGAAGCTGCTTAACCATGATATGTAAGGCTTCATCACTGTGTGTGTTCTGATAATCTACTAAATTTAATATGTTTAATATATTGTTTATCGCCTGAAGTTCATAATTTACAACAGCTGGTCATGATATAAACTGAATAAATTGGAAGTTTGGGGTAACCTTAATAAGAAAAGCACGAGGGCATGAGAATGAATTTAGTAAGTTTACGTTAAAATGTGAGGAAAACACACACCATCGATATGACATATGGCTGATTCTTGCCGGCGCCATACCCAGCAAATAAAATCAAAACGTGAACATTTTGGAGACCGATCGGTTCCTGAATGTACCCTAGAACGAAGAGACATGGCACACTAAAATGATACCATTCTGTCTTCGCTCAATTAGAGAAATAATGCACAATTTATAGATACTTTAAACTTACCATGCTGTCTTTATGATGGATAGTCAAACAGGAAGCATGGGCAAGCGGGTGAAATTGCGCATGTGTAACACATAAAGTACTCTGTACTCAACATTGTTGAATCATGTTGTCGTCTTTAAACGAACATGATCTAGCCCATCTGCTCCTGTTTTCTAAGCAAGCCTTCATGTGAACACAGTGACATACTGCAATAATTGTCTTGAATCCAACAGGAAACTCATTTCATAAACAAGTAAAAAGGAATCTTAAACCAGCACTTTCATGAACTACTCAACAAAAACGTCAAAATATATGACACGTCGAGCAAATGAGTTAAGTAATTTCAAGGAGCCCACCAATCATTTTATTTTGTAACCTTCGAACAATTTACTTTGCTATGTTCAACCAGGGATACTCTACAACAGGGCCTTATAGAGTCTCCCTGGTTCAACCCGAGAATGCAATATCTTATTTTCTCTTTAAAAAGTTTTCATTTGTGTTTTGCATTCATTTATTCAGAGACCATAAACCATAGACGCATAAAAGACATCTGGCTTGTACACGTCTTTGCTACAACCCCACCTAATATTTTCAGTCTACCGCTCATATGTTTCCATAGATCTTAGAACCACAGACGAAGGGTCAAATCGTCAAATTTAAGGCGAAATATCTCACACACAGACAAAGTTTAGCCGCCACAAAATACGACAGTTCGCGTATTTATTCCTTCTGTGTTCGTTTAAGGTTTACACACACACGAACTATATTATACTGACGCTGAATTCTATATAGATGGCGCCCTCGCTAAGAGGTGCTATTTGATTGGCTGCTACTTCAAAATTACGATTTCACCAAGCATACGCGGTTCATTCAAAGACAATGTTTGTAAATACATCGTAGGGATTGTTTTTATTCCTGATTAACTGGTGAGTTTTATTCTAATTTGTGTGTTTCATTCTGTCAAACCACCAGGCTGCAGTCACTCACTGCGATCATCACGGAAAACCACTCCAGTTTGATGAACAATCTTACTGAGAATCCAACAGGCTGAACAGCTGCAAAACTGCAGTCCTCACGTCAGATCGTGCATTAACACATCGACTGATTTATGTCAGTGATCATAACAAATGTAACATGTTAACAAAGATAACCAGAGTTACCACATCGTTTGCATCCATCGGGCATTACTTACTCGCAGAAATCCCTTTGTTGTAACATTCCACATGAACAGCTGACTCATAATACTGAGAATGAGATTTCAGTGGGAAAGCATGTGTTCAGGGTTAATCCTAACCCTAAACCCTCGAAATAATCCTGAGGGAGTACTGCACTTTACCGGGCGCACTTTTTCAGATTAATTAGTGCTGCTGGGGTTCCCTAACCCTAACCCTAAGGATCGTAAAGGGTGCCTAACCTTAAGGATCGTAAAGGGTGCCTAACCCTAAACCTAAGGATCATAAAGGGAGCAGTGAGGGCTGCGCCCGGTAAAGTGCATTCTAGCCATTAAAATGATAGTCTTTACTTGGTAAAGTGCATTCTAGCCATTAAAATGATAGTCTTTACTTGCCATGCCAACAAATCTGATTTAGAATATTAAATGGTACATCACAAGTAATGTATATTTACATCATAACATATCTTAGAATACCTGAAAAATACTGTATTTCATGAAAACATATTTGAATTGACTCCTATTACTGTTTTGAAGTAACAAAGTCCATAATGAATTTCAAAACAACCAGTGACATATTTTTTTAGCTAACTTGTCAGCTTTGACATTATCAAAAATACCAATGATGGACAAACTGAAGAATTAGCATTGGTTCTCATATTTCTTATGAATGGATATATTATAAAATTCTAATTAATAAAGTTATGTAAAACAAAGTCACATTGTAAAACGTTTGTTAACATTTCTGATGACCTGAATTGGGACATCTATTATCTCAATTTGGGAATTTTTACTAATTCTTGCTGCAGACTTAATCACTTAACACTCTTAAAATCTCTGCAATTTGGGGGATTTTATTTTCCATGTTTTAAGGTTCATTCATTTTTATTTTGTTATCATGGTCTAAATTACTCTTTTGTACTTCCAGATATAATCAAAATGTCAAATGAGGATCCTTTAAAGGACAGGCTAAAAAGCCTGTATGAGATCTGTGCTAATCACCATGACAACGCTGAAGGACAGGAGATGCTCCCTCTGAGCCAGGAGGGTCTACTGGATGGTTTTCTCACTCTGTATGATGAGTGTACCCATGACAACCTGGCTCGCATTAAACACATATCAGGCTTCACCAAGAAATGTAAGTCCATGACTAACATATTGAAGATGAGAATCATTATCATCGGTTGTATTCATGTTAATGCCACCAACTTCGAAAATACGGAATTGTTTGTGTGTTAAATCATGTATTTTGATCATGTTGATCAGGTTACAAATTAGTTAATGACAGAAGTCTTAAACAACTTCATGGCATTTATTTCAATATTGTTTCATACAAGACACCTACAGTATCCTTCTAATGTTTGACATACATATTAGGGCTGGGACGGGTCCAAATTTCCTACCCGGGTACCCATTATATATAACACAAATTGCGGGTTATTCCCCTTCAATAAAATCAGGTATGGCCGAGATTTAGAGTGGCGTCTGGGAATATTTTGAATACTGCATCAGGCACAAAGACAAAATGCACTTTGTGCACAGTGCAGCTACGTCAGACAGGAGGGAGTACCTAATCGATGTGGAAACATCTGAACAACAAACATCCTTCCGTAACAAACCAGGAGCTCCAAACAAATGCCGTTCCAATCTACAGGCAAAATACAATTAAAGGTGTAAATAAAAAGTGTATACCATAAAACTAACAAGTAAACAATGTAATGTAATCATAAAGTTTTCAAAGTAAATACCTCTCTCCCTCTCCCGTGGACTCATAATCCAATCACAATAGTCAGACAGACAGATGGCTTATTTACGTCTCACCATATGTACATTAAAGTAAATAATAATACATATAAAAATATACAGTAAATATTATAAATGGAGTTATGAGAGACGGTTGATAATTATATATCACAGAGCAATATATTGGAAGCATATGAGTAGATGAAATGACAATTGAACTTAAAAAAATATATACTAAAATATTAACATGAAATGTTAAACTTATTTATATAAAATTTGGCGGTGTCTTAAAAGGATTTAAAGCATTTTTGGCACGTACGTTTATAAAATCTTGGGAGCTTAAAAGGAGTGATGACTTCTCAGGTTCCGATAAGAGGGTAAAACGTGGCATGAAAAACGTATCTGATGTTAAAAGGTCTTCTCTTAAATTGTCGTAAAGTGGACATTTCAATAAAATGCTGTTCCGATTCAACTCGATTTGGGCTGTGTAAACACCTTCTATCTGTAAGTTCGATTCCTTCATAACGTCCGGTTTCTATACACGGAGGCGCTGTACCTGTCGTGAACAAAGCGAGGGCACGTCTGTGAGACTTTGAGTTGTTTAAACATAGGCCTCTGTAATATCGAATATTGATTTATGGATTCTGTAGCACAGGCCCTCATGTCTATGCGAGGATTAAAGATTTTCTCTAAAAATTTGAGATGACCCCCCAACTTGAAATGCTTCACAATACAATACATATTTTAAAATCTTTAATCCTTGCAAAACATCGAGGGCCTGTGTTCTGTAGTGCCAGAGTTTGTTTTCCTTGATCCCAGTTTTGCGTTCTCCAGGTGTGATGAATTTTCCCTTGTTTTATAAAAGCTTGTAACGATAGTTCTTCACAGTCTCTTACAGTGATGATGTTGTTTAAAAGAGCTTCTTTGGTAATTCCCAATGTGCTCATTAGCTGGTAAAAAGCTAAGTGCCAAGGCTTGTGTCTGTTCCGGGCTTGATTATTTTCCAAATTAATAACATAGGGCTCTATTATCTATACGTTCTTGGTCCATATTCATCATTCTTCTCCAGTAACGAATCAAGCATATATCTTGTCTTACACTTAGTTGCAGGGTTCCATCCCACGTCACCAATAACTTCTTCATTAGCCTTGACTTCAATAGCCTAGACCTAGGTAAAATCTCATAGCACGTTTTTGTATTGCGTTGATTGATGAATAGTCCTCTGTTCCATCGATTGAAATGCCTCAAGTTATAACTGGCCAAAGTAATGCATTGTACAGTTTGGTAAATGTTTTGAAACCGAGTTACCTAATCGGTAACAATAGGTCTACCTTCGTGGTTTGTTCAGACTCTATTTGAGGCTGACGTCTGCGTTCTTGAGTCTTTTACATGTAAACAATTAACTACTTGGCGTACTTGTAAGTTGTAACCTATGTTACACGTGACATGCTTAGTTGTCGACAGTTGATAGTTTACTCCACAATCTCAAACATAAGACAGCAATCTCGTTGTAAATATATATAATAATTATAAACACATTCAATTAAGTCTTCATTTATTAGTAAGATGATTAAAGCGGGTTCGGGTAACGTGACGGGTACCTGGGTCCAACTCATTACCCACCCTTCCTGGGTACCCGGGTTACCCAGCCCAGCCCTAATAGATATGTATACAGTGAGACCTCGGATATCCGGACACATTTGTTTTTACGTAAATCGTCCGGATAATTGAATGTCTGGATATCTGGATTTTTGGTTTTCATACACCTCAAGGAAAATCCAAAATGTTTATGATCATCAAGCCTTTATTGTACATTGTAGCGAGCATACGCTTCGGGGTTGAAATCACTTCCAAAACATTGAATAAACAACTTAACAGTTTGAACTCAATGGTTAACTCAGTGTCAGCTAGGCCTACTAATCACCACCAATACCTTGCTGACCGGTCATTAATCCGGATTAGCAGACCATGTCTCGTGTCAAAACACGTGGGACTGTCGCGCTTCCCTTCACACGGTCAGCGGTAGATCAACATCTTCGTGCGGATACGTGAGTCAATTTTGTGTTGATTTGCCCGGTTGGTTTGTAAAATATACCGTCCGGAAACGGAAACCAAATATCCGTTATAGACAGTCACTTTTATAACGTAAGAGATTGTTTTTTCTAAAAATTGACCGGAAGGCGAGGTTTTCGGATATCTGGGGTCCGGGTATCCGGGGTCTCACTGTATATTGTGTCTCCAAAGCCTCATTGCTGGGTGTTACTTTCATCATGTTAAAGCCATAGTGGTCTCACAGGACATGGTTTGTTTGGGTTCAGACATGACTGTATGTGAAGCTTCATCCTTGGTATCGTAGGGTGGTGGGGTAGCCTAGTGGTTAAACTTTAAAGCGTTCGCTCGTCACACCGAAGACCCAGGTTCGATTCCCACATGGGTACAATGTGTTAAAGGAGAATACGAATGAATACAGAACTTTTGATATATTGTAAAGGATATTCTAAAAGTCACATTCCGTGATTAAAATTGAACAAAAACATTGTAAAATAGCAATAAAAACACAAAAAAGTACTCGTATTTCCGCCTATTACGGAAACACCCGACAGTTAATGAGCAGAGGGGGTATCACGTGACTTGACGTCATGCCTGTTGCTGGTGGCTTCCTCTTTGATTTTACCTCACAACTTAACAGTGTCTGTGGATTCTGAAGCAGTAAAAGATGTTCCTGATGTCATTTCTGAAATGGATGTTAGACCGTATCAATACAATCCGATTTTACATCTTGCAAGACAATCTTCCACTGAAGATGAAGAAGAAGAATCAAGCGAAACGGAGGCACCGCATGAGGTCAAAATAAATTTTAAAATAGACCATATGATTTAACAAGATTACTAATTGTCAGCTAAATGTCATACAGTTCCAGCCAGCAAACTCACTCCTATAAATATATGACCAGTCACTAAGAATTATTTCAAAAAAATTTGATTACAGTTCATTTTGTGTCAAATGGGTGACTGTATGGTGTCTGGGATGTAAAAACAAAATAATTATGCTTCAGACAAGGGAAATGAAAATGATCTGCTTCAAAGATTACACTGGAATTATTTTGTTGAAAAAAATTAGGATCCTTGTTCTCTTTAATAACGTATCAAGTCTCGATACAAAATCCCAGCCTGGTCGAGCAGAGATAATATTCGCGACGCAGATAAGTTATTCCCCGAAAACTGGTGAATTATAAAATACTAGTCAGGACAACGTATGTTTCACCATTGTTTGGTAATGGAAATAGTTATGGTACTCGGTCATAGCCTTAGAATGACATCCTGTCAGCCAATGAGAATACAGAACAACTTTCACGGCACACACTACTGACAAATAGCGAGTCTGATGCCAACATGCGTAATTGGACAAAATGGAAAACAATGAAAGCAACAAGTACTTCATGATTTGCCCTTGTATTCGGCAATGTTTCGAGTTGACTGCATCATTTAGGGCTCCAAACCAAAAAGAATGTTATAGCGAAACATTTTCAAGCTCATGTGAAATCTCTTACTGATTTTGATAATATATATCTCATGTGTACCAGTCGAACTGCCCCAGCTACAAAATGCCTCAGCAAATTTGGTCATTCATTCTAATTTGTTCAAATTTATTTATAATGATTGAATATATGCCGTAAATGCATAGTTTTTGTCAACTTATTATGATATTATGTTCTTCATATAAAAGTTATTAGGAAGTAATATTTCTGATAAATGTTTCATCAGTAAACTCATAACTATGTATATACTTATATATGAAGAACATAATATCAAAGTTGACAAAACTATGCATTTATGTCCTATATTTATTCATTTTAAATAAATTGGGGCATTTTGACCACCCCACTGGGGCAATTTGACCAAATTTGCTGGGGCATTTTGTAGCGGGGGCAATCGTACTTGATTTAATTTATGTTAAAAATACCACTGACAGTAAGTTGTTGCAGGGAATGATGGAGTATAATTAATGAATCTCGTGGGTACTTTTTCCTTCTTCAGCCTAGCTTGGGGATTTCCATACCCCATGCGTGCATGTCTCATTCATATGCGTCCGTCTCGGAATGATCGGCGCATTTCTCCTGCCGAAATCTGTCATTTCACTTGGAAAACGGAACAAATGGTGGCTCTTTCCCATGTTCGATGATGCCGTGCATCCCCAGGCAACACAATACACCATCGTACCATTTTAAAAAACGACAGAAACATGATTTGTACTACTGTAGCGCTTGGTCTTAGGCAATATGGCGGACTCCAGGCACATATGACGTCACGTCACTCAGCGGAAAGGTCACGTGGGTTCCAGCGAAATATGCATAATGGCCGAAGCTGAGATTTACAGAAACTGTTTTCAGGATTAAAACATAATTATACATAATTTTTAATTGAAAATTTGGGAATATGTTTCTGATGACTTTATCTTTCATCCAGCAAATTATTGCAATTCACTCGTATTCTTCTTTAAGCCCATTTCTGGAGTGATATTGCTGGAATATTGCTAAAAGTAAAAGCGGCGTAAAACTGAACTCACTCACTCCTTGGTATCGTTGTTGCACTGATGCAACTTGACCTTAATTTATACTAGTGCAAAATAATGATAGTATAAAGAATAGTGGTAATAAACACATTATAAGTTGTATGCTTGTCTTTTTTTTGAATATCGCTACTGACTATATGACATGCAAACAAAATGGTGTCTGCCTCTCGACTGGATTTTTAAAATCAGTGAAACATTCTCACAAGCTTAAAACTGCTATAAAAATGGTTAATTATGTTTAAGGTGAGTGTGCAAACGATTACACATGGTAAATTACATGTCTAAGTGAACTCAAAAACAGCTGATCGAAGGGTTTTCGAACTCCCTGCACTGCATGCGTCATATTATGACGTCATACGATTGTTAGCGATACAGCTTCTCGGCGGAGAGTTTTGTGGTTACCGTGGCAGCTGGTAATATTTTTTCCAGTTATCACCCTCCTGGGAGGGGTGACACGGAAACTTGTTAAAGCGTCATTGACCAATGAAATTTAAGCATTTTACATGAAGGTAAGATAATTAGTAATAATACAAAAGGACACCACTAAAATGAGTTAAATTTTATTAACCGTCAGGATAAAGTTCTTGAAAGGCATTTAGAAGTTGGACAAACATAAATACACGATACGTTTTATGGATAACAACTTCTTTTTTATTCTTATTTATCATGACATTTCAGAGCTAATTCTTGCTCCAACATCCCTCAGGATAGACTCAGTCTGTCACTGTAGACCCTAGTCCAGAGTTTGAGTCTAGTAAAATTCTGTTTGGTCTATGAATTTCAATTTGTAGTCATACCATAATTCAATAAAAAAAATTGAAGAAACTGATCATGCTGATGCTGTTAGCCGGGTTCAGGACGAGTAGTAGACTCAGAGCTACAGATAACTTTTTTGGTCATTGAGTTATGTACTCACTTGTGTTCATCTCAATTGGGTATCCTAATTTTCCTTTGAGTAACCAAATATATTGTACCCACCTCTCTCAAACTCAGTTGGGTTTTTTGTCATTTTCCATTAATTGTAAAAATATAATAAAGTTTAAATGTTAGTGTTTGTTATTTTTATTTGATTTGTCATATGAGAAACGATACGAAAGACTGCAAGTTGCCAAGTTCATGTGCTGAAATAGAACCTCTCAATATACCTCAGTTATTTTATCTATCTACCGATACGCAAGCTAAGAGTTGACATTTTTGTGTGTACACATGTAAGATCACATCTGTTGAGTATTTATAAAAATTCAAGCGTACTTGTACGCAAAAGACCTAATAGGAATTGAGTTTTTACATAAATATTTGTGTCATTTATGCAGATACGCAGCTTACCTGTACCTCTGTAGACTACAAGGTTTAGCTTCAGCAACAATATTGAGACAAACTGATTTAAATAGTGGGCACGTTTAATTATCCGTGACAGTTGTTGTGATATGACCAACACTTTTTCTAAAAGTAACATAAAACCATTAAGTGTGATATGTGTCTGTTTGTGCTTATAGATGAAGATGCTGTGAACGAAGCCCACCAGTTGATGTTGAAAGCCTCTGACTTCGAGGTGAAAGACATCATTGGCCGCGGCCATTTTGGGATAGTGCAGGTCGTGAAGGAGAAGAAGCTGGAAACAGTTTATGCAATGAAAGTTCTCAGGAAAAATGACATCTTGTCACAACCAGAGGTAGGTTTCGCCTTAGAATTTTAAATGATGATACAGATAGATAATTGATCACATTGTTATTCAACAGTATTCCCAAAAGCAGAGATCTTTTGTGAAAAGATTCCAACTTTATTATGTTTATTGCCTGGTTTAAAATGAGAAGTGTGTTGTCAAACAGTTTAGATAACAGGATAAATATTCCATGTTTGTAGCATCAGTTCAATGTAAGAATTGGAACAAAGCTTAAACTGAAATTGTTTAGCAAATGTGTCTTTGGCGATGATAATTTTGGACTATGAAATCAATGTGAGATTGAATTGAAACTACAGGCATTGTTAATTAATTAAACTTGTTCAAGGTGTTTTCTGTCATTGGTTTGTGAAATGTGTTGTTAATATGGAGTGTGTGTATGAAAACTATCAAGTATCATGTCTACATTGTGGTTGCATGCCCGCAGATTTCCTTCTATAAGGAGGAGCGTGACATCATGGCATTGGCGACCAGCGAGTGGATCACACGACTCCACTACGCTTTCCAGGACAACTCCTGTCTCTATCTCGTCATGGACTTCCATCCTGGTGGTGACCTGCTTTCTCTACTCTCAAGGTCAGTCCATTGCCCAGGTTGTTGATGGAGGTCAATAGGAGGTCATTGTCACATTGTGACCTGCAAGCATTTCAAATATCGGTCATTTGTAAATTTTACCGGTCAAGTGATCACGGTTTTCATTGTGCGCAAGACCTTGCACCCTAACAACCAATCAGAGATGTATAGGGTATCGCAATGCCGCTTTTTTTAGCCTGGGTTTGTATTTTTTATTTGACAACACCTCAATGTCATTGTGAAAACGTAATCTTTTTCAAGGAGAAATAAAATTGACAGAGGTAATTAGAAAATTGATTTTAAAATTTGCTGGACATGATGATCGACAGCCTTTGAAATTACGGAACTTTGTAACGGTCAAAGTCTGGTATATACCAGACAACGGAAACACTGACACTCTTAGACTATTACCAGTAGTAGCCACTAGCAATAGTCCTAATCTAATAGACCCTCCCTGTATTGGTGGCTAGTAGTGGCTCTGAGAGGGGAAGTCGCTGGTGCAATTATGTTCATGTCATAGCCAAAGACATTACAGGGTGATGTTACCCTGCCTATTGCCCACCATTAAAGGGTATAAACAAGTCTTGTTTGTTGACAGACATGATGACATATTTGAAGAGGACATGGCTCGCTTCTACCTGGCTGAGATGTCAGTTGCCATCAATGATCTTCATCAGATGGGTTATGTGCACAGGTAAGCCAGAACGATTTTGATATAAAACATATAATGATATTCAGGGCTCGATTTAGTGCTTTGTTGCTTGCACTGGTGCAACCCAATACTGCAAAGTGCAATAAATCAACAATAAATCTAACATAATAAGCATGAATATGTTAGCTCATTTTTTTTTAAACTTTGAATAGCTATGGCAAAGAAACATTGCTATTTATAGACATGTCTCGGCTATGACAGCTCTTGTACACAGGGATCCGCTGTGTCTCTATGTTGCTGTGGTTTCATACATTTACATGACAAAATGTGTTTATGTGCAAAGCTTCTGATGTTATAACACACTACGTTGAAACTGGAATTAAATGGCTGGTGCAACTAGGTTGATATCTAGGGTTGCACCTGGTGCAAGTAGGTTAACATCTCTTATATCGAGCCCTGGTATTCCCTCATATCTACATTTGGACGCAATAGGGATACCAAGCCAGAATTGTTCTACATGGTTCTCAGTGAGACACTGCTGATCATTAGTTGCGACTTATAAAGAAATGGATCTGTACTCAACCTTCTTAACTTTGTATGATTGCATGTTATCATATCCCTGTTGAACTTGATGTTCATGATGTCACTCACTGGATTGCACTGGATTGTAAACAGCCCACTGTCATACACATGACAAAGGTATAATAACGCTAAGTGCAGTGTTAAAACAAATTAACAAATACTGAAAGGGTGAAAGTATGTGTTAATGTTGGTCAAATCTAAGTTGTGATACCAATATAACTGCTTGCAACTGTTAACTCTGTAAAGCATATTAGAAAAGGCTTTTAGTTGAGGGTTTTGGATTCAGTTTGACAATGGTCAGTACACAAATACACTTTTATTTTTCCTTATCCTGACTCATGCTAAGTGCTTGTCTACTTCTTTTTGCAAATGATAGTGGAACACTTGAAATCCCTTGAAGTTCCCTTCTAAAAAGTGGACGTAAAATCACCACTCACCCACGAGTTACCTCCCTTGCCTCCTTGGCACCATTTTGGTCACCTGACCGGCCATGTTTTAGTCAGAAAATGACATTTATTCATCTGCTTTTGTGGATGCATTTTAAATATTGTTTTATTTCCAGAGATATCAAACCCGAAAACATTTTACTGGACCAGAAAGGTCACATTAAACTTGCTGACTTTGGTTCTGCTGCTAAGATGTCTGCAGACATGCTGGTATGTGTATACAGAGTATTTTATACTGACAGTTGCTATGGTAACGTTTGTATACATGTAATTTGAACACTTTGTTTTGGTTGAATTGTCAACAATATGTAATATGAAATGATACAATGTATATATGTTATTAACATGGTCAAGTCATCAGATATGTTACAGGTTATTGTTGTAGATTATTATTATGATTAAGTGGTGACGCATTTACAGTCTCACTTATGTAGTGGAGTGGTGGGTTGGCCATGTGGTTAAAGGATTCGCACAACACACCGAAGACCCTGGGTGCAGTGTGTGAAGCCCATTTCTGGTGTCCCCACCATGATACTCACTGCTGGAATATCACTCACTCTCACTCACTCACTCACTCACTCACTCACTCACTCACTCACTCACTCACTCACTCACTCACTCACTCACTCACTCACTCACCACTCCTCACTCACTCACTCCTCTCACTCACTCACTCACTCACTCCTCTCTCACTCCTCACTCCTCCTCCTCACTCACTCACTCACTCACTCCACTCACTCACTCACTCACTCCTCACTCACTCCTCACTCCTCCACTCACTCACTCCTCCACCCACTCCTCCTCACCCACTCACCCACCCACCCACCCACTCCCACCCACCCACTCATGTGGCACATGCTACTTAGCAAAGTGCTAAGGACTAATCAATTCATTGAAGAAAATAACAACCGTTATGGTGGTCTGTTAATGGAATGTACTTACACTTTAACCGTGTTTTCTGAGTGCCTGGACCAGTGGACAAAACACTTAAAAGTAAAGAAGACATGTATATGTTGCAGGTCTCGTCTCATACGCCAGTTCTTGATGTTTTTCCGAAGTACAGAAGATGTATGTATATATTGCAGGTCTCGTCTCGTATGCCTGTTGGTACCCCGGACTACGTTGCCCCGGAATTGTTGACGTCAATGAACAGCAACCGTGGACCTCGCACCTACAGCGTGGAGGTCGACTGGTGGTCGCTGGGCATTTGTGCCTACGAGATGATGTATGGGAAAACCCCTTTCACTGACGACTACGGCTCCATGGTCACAACCTACAGCAATATCATGAACTTTAAGGTCAGCCTGGACAAGAATTAGTTTAATATTTAAAGTTTAAGAGTGAAGTTTGTTTGTCTGACGCCACACAGTGACACTCAGCAATATTTGAGCTGTATGGCGGCGGTCTGTAAATAATCTAGTCTGGACCAGACAGTCCAGTGATCAACAACATGAGCATCGATCTAAGCAACTGGGATACGATGACATGCAATGAACCAAGTCAGCAAGCTTGATCACCTGATCCACTTCGACATGACATGCTCATGACATTAATCACAGGTTTGGTGGATTGGTTCATGTTTGTCTGTATTGAATATGCCATACTGGAACCAAAATACTGTTTAAAGTGGCATGACACCAGTTGACTTTCTCATGAAGTAGTTCATATTTCAGACCGCCATATAACTCGAATATTGCTGAGTGCAGCATTAAACAACAAACCAAACCAACCAATCATATTTCAGAGTAAGTTAAAGTTCCCGGAGGACAGCAGCGTGTCGGAGTCTGCCAAGGATCTGATGAAGAGTCTGCTGATGGAACAAGACCAGCGCTACACCTGGAAGGACATCCGCGGCCACAAGTACTTCAACACCATCAGCTGGAGCTGCATCGGCAAAAGTCAGTACAAACATCGAACAACAATCGATTTCTTATATCAACAACAATTTCTATTGTAATTTAGTAATATGATTTAGTTTCTATTTAGTACATCAAGTCAATGATGACATCAGTAAAGTGCATTTAGAAAATATGTTTTGCCATAGCAGTTTTCTAGTTAATGTTTTGTGGCAATATGGCCTATAGCCCCAGCTTGTTACTTCACATCATTTTAGGTTTATTTGAACTCACTACTGGTAAACAAACACTTAAGTACATCAGTGTGTACATCAAGTCAGGACAGTAGATGTGCCTTGTGTTCAAATGAAAGGGCAAATCTCCATCAGTAAACAGAGCTAATGGTTTGATTGGCATTCTAGAAGTTTGTAAGTCAGTAATAAAGCATACAGCTTTATACATCTTTTATTTTATTGCATAAAGCGATGTTTCAGCATAAAACTTTTAGCTTGATAACAGTGTAAGAATCTACACCGAAACTTCGCACTATGCAATAAGCAAGGAGGTGTCATCCACAAAGTTGTATGCTTCATTAATAAACCCTAAGGTAGAGTGTGACGCTGTGTATGTGAATTAATGTTCCGTGGAAATGTCAATGTCTCAGTCAACACACTGTAGCACTGAACTGAGCCCTGAGCAAACCTTCCACCCTTTCGGTTGTCAACTGGGCGGATGATGCAGGTTTGAGGTTTCAGTTGACATGTGAATTTTTTAAAGTTTCATCAGTAGATTGAAGCAAATTTGACTCAACCTTGGCTTGAGACAAGTGACTAAAGTGGCACACTGCTATCTACTGACAGCTTCACCGCCATTTATCCCGACCGTCAACAGCCTGGACGACACATCCAACTTCGAGGAAGTAGAGAAGGTGAAGCCCCAGCCCTCACTGGATGAGTTCAAGATTCAGAAGGATTTCTCTGGGCGAGATCTGCCATTCGTAGGATTCACCTATGTCAGGGATCTGAAGGACCTGTGAGTAGCACTGTCTATTTGTTATTGTTTGTATTGTTTAACCTGACAATTATTTTTGGTCATATCCAAAGTTTGACATACTATGCTATCTTTTATGACCACTAATGAAAGATTCACAATTGGGAGGCTTGTTAGTGGATCAGGTGGTCCGACTCAGTGGCTTATATTATGGGATGTTCACATACCCAAAAGACATGGACCGCTGCTCATGATATCAATCACTGGATTGTCAGGACCTGATTATGAAATCAATACTGACGAAAGCAGAGACTACACCATGACATCACCATGACATCACCAGTCTTGTGACAGTAGACATTAACAACAGCCTTGAACCTCACTTGATCGATTCAATGAGAAGTGAGGACACACTTGAATTCTGAATGCGTTTGAATTCTCTGTAATGTTCAAGCTTGCAAGATGCCTGTGAATATGGGTTCAACTCTTGGTTTATTGTATGTATCAGATCTTTACAAACTGCCATTATACTGCTGGAATTGTGTATAGTGTAGATAAATAAACAAATCAAGGATTGATTTGTTTACTCTCGACTCTTCATTACCTGTGTTTTCTATGTTCCCCAGCTGCTACTGTTCCTGCCACAGTGGTAAGGTGTCAACAACTATCCTGAAGGAGTCCGACGGCAACACCTCCTGCTCCACAGCGCTCCAGACGGCTCCAGACTCCACCAATCTGGAGGTAACGTTGACTGTGAAGATTGCGGAGCTGAGGTCGCTGAAGGAGCGGTGCAGTGAGCTAGAGGACTCGGAGATCAGGCTGAAGTCAGAGGTGGAGCAATGGAAACACAAGTTTGAGGATACGGCCGACCAGAGTAGCTTGCGGGAAGGGGAGACAACCATGTTACAGAAGGATGTGGACATGTACATCAACAAAACCAAGGTTAGAGGCTGCAGAGGGTTTAAATATCTTAATGGTCTTTTAAAACTTGGGGTGGTTGGGTGGCCTAGTTGTTAAAGCGTTTGCCCATCACACCGAAGACCCAGGTTCGATTCCCCACACCGGTACAATGAGTGAAGCCCATTTCTGGTGTCACTCCACTGTGATATTGCTGGAATACTGCTAAAAGCAGTATAAAACTAAACTCACTCACTTTGAAAGTTTGTTTAGTCCCCAGTACCTCATGAGCCAATCTAGCTGGTGATTGGATGGACAGACTCGGTCCTGGCTTAACTCGTACCTTATGGCTTGGATCACTGCTTATGTACATTTAATCAGTTATTACAGGTCGTCAAAATATAGCTGATATGTTCCATTAAACAGCATCCATCTATTTACATATTTACTTGGTTCAGAAACCATACTACATAAAATGATTTTTTCCCCGTTGTTGTGTTTGAGAAGGTCTTTGAAAGACAAATAATGTTGATGCTTTAAAACATATTTTGGAAGTTTATATTCCCATGGCTCTTATAGGGAGATGAAGTCAGTAATTCAAACAGTCACTCTTCATTCAAAGCACTTAAAGGCCACATTAACTCAACTCATTTTAATTACTGCTTCAACAAGATTTTCTTTGTATATGTTTTCATGCCTATCTCAGCAATATTAAGGTATGGGCGGTGTGGTAGCCTTGTGGTTAAAGTGTTTGCTCATCACGCCGAAGACCTAAGTTAAATCCCCCACATGGACGCAATGAGTGAAGTCCATTTCTGGTGTTCCCTACCTTGATATTGCTGGAATATTGCTAAAAGCAGCAGAAAAATATACTCACTCTCTGATTCAATATTAGGGTATGGTAACACACAACCAAATTCATCAATCCTGTCCATCCAATACAACTGGCATAGATATCTGGGGACCAGTTCTCACCTGAAATCTGCCTGGGAAGTTTCCAGACAAGGAGATGAACAACAATAAAACTTCAGAGAATATGCAGTTGCATTTTGTAAAATGCTGGGTAATGTGGTTGGTTGTAGGTGTTGAGTGAACAGTTGATGAATGATTCTGATGAGCGGCAGCAGTTGGAGAAACAGGCAGAGCAGATGTATTTCCAGATACAAGAAATGTCTCAAGAGGCTCGGAACATCCAGGATGAACTCGCCATGTAAGTGATTCAGTTATGAATGATCTCATTGCAATGTCAAAGTTCAGAGCACTGCTTCCTCTACTTTGTGATCATGGTGCTTGTTGTAACTTGAGTCATGGTAGTCTGAAGGTTTTAAAGTGTTTATTGTTGGTTCAGTTTTTAATGGTTAGTCTTGTTAATACAGCATAAACACACAGAGAGAAGGATCTATTGCCTTTGCTTATATTTAATGAATGGAGTTTTTGTGAAGTGGCGAGTGTCATCATCTTTGTGTACTTCCAGTACTGCAGGAATGTGTTGGTGTGTACTGCAGGAATGTGTACTTGGTGTGTTGGTGTGTACTGCAGGATTGTGTTGATGTGTAAATTTCCAGTGTGTTTACTGCAGGATTGTGTTGATGTGTACTTACTGTAGGTACAATTGTGTGTCGATGTGTACTGGATTGTGTACTTCAGGATTGTGTTGGTGTGTGCTTGTGTTGGTGTGTACTGCAGGATTGTGTTGATGTACTGCAGTAACTTCAGGATTGTGTCGATGTTTGGTGTTTGTGTACTGCAGGATTGTGTTGAGGTGTGTAACTGGATTGTGTTGTGTACTGCAGTGCAGGATTGTGTTGGTGTACAGGATTGTGTCATGTGTACTGCAGGATTGTGTTGGTGTTTACTGCAGGATTGTGTTGGTGTGTTTACTTCAGGAATGTGTTGGTGTGTACTGCAGGATTGTGTTGATGTGTACTGCAGGATTGTTTGGTATGTACTACAGGATTGTACCACTGCAGGAATGTGTTGTGTGTGTACTTCAGGAATGTGTTGGTGTGTACTTCAGGATTGTGTTGGTGTGTACTTCAGGATTGTGTTGGTGTGTACTGCAGGATTGTGTGTGTATGTACTGGATTGTGTTGATGTGTACTGCAGGATTGTGTTGGTGTGCAGAGTTGTGTGTGTACTGCAGGATTGTGTTGGTGTGTACTTCAGGATTGTGTTGGTGTGTACTGCAGGATTGTGTTGGGATTGTGTTGGATGTGTACTTCAGGATTGTGTTGGTGTGTGTACTGCAGTGTGTTGTGTTGATGTTATATGTGTTGGTGTTGACTGCAGGATTGTGTGTGTATGTACTGCAGGATTGTGTTGGTGTGTACTTCAGGATTGTGTTGGTGTGTACTGCAGGATTGTGTTGATGTGTACCACAGATGTGTACTTCAGGATTGTGTTGGTGTGTACTTTGTGTTGACTGCAGGAATGTGTTGGTGTGGACTGCAGGATTGTGTTGATGTGTGTACTTCAGGATTGTGTTGATGTGTACTGCAGGGATTGTGCTTTGATGTGTACTGCAGGATTGTGTTGATGTGTACTGCAGGATTGTGTGCTGTGTTGTGTTGTGTACTGCAGGATTGTGTTGATGTGTACTGCAGGATTGTGTTGATGTGTGTACTGCAGGATTGTGTTGGTGTACTGCAGGATTGTGTTGATGTGTACTGCAGGATTGTGTTGATGTGTACTGCAGGATTGTGTTGATGTGTACTGCAGGATTGTGTTGCAGTGTGTGTACTGCAGGATTGTGTTGGTGTGTACTGCAGGATTGTGTTATGTGTACTGCAGGATTGTGTTGGTGTGTACTTCAAGATTGTGTGATGTGTACTGCAGGAACCAGGTGGACGACCTCCGTGACATCATCAGCCAGCTGGAGATGGAGAATGAGAACCTTATGAGGCGACTACGGCAGAAGGACAGGCAGCATCACACTATCACCAACAACCTCAACGAAACACAGAAACAACTGACTAGCGTCCAGCTCAAACTAGATAAGGTAATGTGGCCATGATGTTTTGGCTTTGATCTGATACTTTTGGTACAGCAGTTGCAGATATAGGCTACTGCATTTCTGACAGTGATCTTTACACTGATTCTTCAGTCCTGTGAGTTGTTTTGTCATTTCCTGGCATACAACATGTCACAAGTGAATTGATGTAACACATGTTATACAGTGGAAGCCCTCTAAACCGGCAGCCCTCCAATCCGGCATGCTCTCAATATCGGCACTAGAATTTGGTCCCGGTAGAAGCTAATTAATTTATGATCATTTACACGCCCTCTAATCCGGCGTCAGTCTATTCCGTATTTCGGCAAAACATTGACTGTTCGTACAGTAATTAACGCTCTCTAAACCGGCATCCGGTATCTCTGCTCTCCTGTTGATTGGTTGATTGGCTGAACGTGTATTAACAACACAGTGGATTACCATCGGCATTAAGCTCATTGATGTTGCCTGATAAAAGGAGTATGGATAAGGATTAGGCCTATGTAGGTGAGGTAAATTGGTGTGTGACACGTGTCATTTGCATTATTAATTAATTGTCGTGTGAATAAAAACAGTAAATTTGACAAAATTAACACACTGACGCATGATTGTGTTTCGACAGCCCGCTGTAAATACATGCCCATTTCTGGCCCTATTTTGAAAGAGAAAGCTATTCAGTTTGCTTCCGAATTAAATGTCAACGAGTTTAATGCATCAGATGGTTGGCTGGCACGTTGGAAGACACGATACGACATCAAACAGTTCAAAGTGAGCGGCGAATATGATGACTATCAACACATTGTTCAGTCGTATTTTACAGCACACGGAGGATCATTCTCAGGTTGAAAAAGGAAAAGTTCTCTAAACCGGCACACCCTCTATACCACCAATTTTTGTCAGTCCCAACAAATGCCGGTTTAGAGGGCTTCCACTGTATTTGTGATAACACTTTCTCAGTGTACAGATAATTCAGTGTTAATTTGTCATTACATAGAAGGGTTATGGTCGTGACACAGGTACTGTTGGTAAAGATCCATTTAGGGATGCTCCTTCTGCACACACTGACTATACTTCAGACACTTGTCCTAGACCTTCAGTTTCTGTCTGGTAACATGAGGTCATATATGGACATGATGCCAGAGTCAACCTATGCCAGTGCTGGAGTTAGCTTGGCTGTTTATTGAGCAGGAGAGGAGGAAGTCTCGGGACGACCAACGCCGCGACCTGGCAATGATGGAGAACAGAGATGAAGTGTGGAAACAACAGCTGGAACAGAAGCAGGCGTCCATTGATGATCTCAACAAGAAACTCAGGGTATGTATGGTGTATCATGTCTGTATCACATAGTGTATATGAAACTCGCCGAAGACCCGGGTTCGAATCCCCACATGGGTACAATGTGTGAAGCCCATTTCTGGTGTCCCCCGCCGTGATGTTGCTGGAATATTGCTAAAAGCGGCGTAAACCCAAACTCAATCAGTCATTCAGTATATGAAACTCTATCATTGGATGGTTAAGTTTGTATGACTCAGGGATTGTATGGTAGTCACATATGTTTACTATAATCACATTGATGATAAAATGTTATCACAAAACCTAAAGGACAACAACTTACTTCATTATTAGGGATGACTATTGAGGGTGAATCAACTATTGTGATAGTGATAGTCTCTTGTAACATACTATTGAGATAGTCTATAATGACCAACTATTGTGATAGTGATAGTCTCTTGTAACACACTATTGAGATAGTCTATAATGACCAACTATTGTGATAGTGATAGTCTCTTGTAACACACTATTGAGATAGTCTATAATGACCAACTATTGTGATAGTGATAGTCTCTTGTAACACACTATTGAGATAGTCTATAATGACCAACTATTGTGATAGTGATAGTCTCTTGTAACACACTATTGAGATAGTCTATAATGACCAACTATTGTGATAGTGATAGTCTCTTGTAACACACTATTGAGATAGTCTATAATGACCAACTATTGTGATAGTGATAGTCTCTTGTAACACACTATTGAGATAGTCTATAATGACCAACTATTGTGATAGTGATAGTCTCTTGTAACATACTATTGAGATAGTCTATAATGACCAACTATTGTGATAGTGATAGTCTCTTGTAACACACTATTGAGATAGTCTATAATGACCAACTATTGTGATAGTGATAGTCTCTTGTAACACACTATTGAGATAGTCTATAATGACCAACTATTGTGATAGTGATAGTCTCTTGTAACACACTATTGAGATAGTCTATAATGACCAACTATTGTGATAGTGATAGTCTCTTGTAACACACTATTTGAGATAGTCTATAATGACCAACTATTGTGATAGTGATAGTCTCTTGTAACACACTATTGAGATAGTCTATAATGACCAACTATTGTGATAGTGATAGTCTCTTGTAACACACTATTGAGATAGTCTATAATGACCAACTATTGTGATAGTGATAGTCTCTTGTAACACACTATTGAGATAGTCTATAATGACCAACTATTGTGATAGTGATAGTCTCTTGTAACACACTATTGAGATAGTCTATAATGACCAACTATTGTGATAGTGATAGTCTCTTGTAACACACTATTGAGATAGTCTATAATGACCAAGTATTGTGATAGTGATAGTCTCTTGTAACACACTATTGAGATAGTCTATAATGACCAAGTATTGTGACAGTGATAGTCTCTTGTAACACACTAGATAGTCTATAATGACCAAGTATTGTGATAGTGATAGTCTCTTGTAACACACTATTGAGATAGTCTATAATGGCCAACTATTGCAATGCTATTGCAGTAGTTGTTTCCTCCTTGAATTGTCTCATTTGAAGTCATTTCCCAAATAAATATATAGTTTATATGAAATAAAAACAAGTTGAAGTAGTTTCAGCCTCTTTTAATAACTGACAAGAAACTTGAAACCCAGATCAAGTAAACTGTTAAAACCTAAACTAAATGAAGCTGTAAGTCTGCACCCAAACATCCTGTATTTTACGATGCGCATTTATCAACGGAAGTCAAATAATAAACTATCAATAGCCACACATACCATCGATGCATCGGTAGTCTTTCATTTCTACCATCGATTAATTGCTATCGGAGACACAACAGTTGCAATCCATTGATATTTCAATGCATCGTTAGAGCAATATTCATTGTCAGTCAGTTACATCTCAATAGGAAAATGGGCAGGAGGGTAGCCTAGTGTTTAAAGCTTCGTCACACTGAAGATCCAGGTTCGATTCCCCACGTGTACAAAGTGTGGAGCCCATTTCTTGTGTCCCCACAGTGACATTGCTGGACTATTGCTAAAAGCGGAGTACTACTAAACTCACTCACCCTCAATAGCAAAAATAGGAAAAGGATCAAATGTACTTCAGATAATACATTATCTATATTAATTACTGACTGACTGAGTTTGGTTTTACGCCGCTTTTAGCAATATTCCAACAACATCACGGCGGTGGACACCAGAAATGGGCTTCACACATTGTGCTCATGTGGGGATTCGAACCCGGGTCTTCGGCATGACGAGCCAACGCTTTAACCATTAGGCTACCCCACCGCCCCTCTATATTAATTAAGATGATTGGTTTCATGCTGTATTGACCATGGGGTCGATACAACAAGGACAAGCTTATTGTATGTATCGATGGACAGATATTGCTGCTTTGGAGATTCTGTGTTAGAATGAACCCCAACAACCTATCCTTGCCCAACATGGTGGTCAAAGGTTGATGACAGTGTGGATCAATGCTCATGTCAATCATTGGTTTGCCTGGTCCATTACTTACTAGCTGCCGACATATAGCTGGAATGTTGCTGAGTTTGTTGTGAAACCACAAACATATAGAGGTCCCAACTGCTGCCTGTATCATGAGTTTCTGTGGGTGGTACTAGTCATGATTCACTGACACAGGACCTCGAGGACCTGGTGGAGGCGTATGAACAGCAGGAACAGGAACATGCTGAGGAGATTGAGCTGCTCCACAACAAGATGAACACGTCCCTGAGGGAGAACGGTCTCGTCGTGCCGCACATCGTCCGGTCTGAAGAACCCAGGAAGAGGAAAGTGGTGAGTGTAGTGTGTTCTCTACATTATAAGTGATAGATTCTACATTCAGAGCTGAGGCTACTGTGCAATATTACTAGCGTATGGATGCATCCGCAGGGAATCATTGGTTTTTAATTTTATTGCTGTGTTTTTTGCAGGAGCTGTTTGTCACTCTCCAGACTGGGAGACCTTCTCTACTGAACAACAGTCACCTGGAGGACAAGATCAAGGTGAGTCAGTCAGTTTCTAGTGCTGTCGGCCTCGTCTACTGTGGCAATGTGTTTATCTTCTGCTGCCTGCCATGCATTGTGTTTACTGTCTACTATGCCTATTTTCCAGATGTTATCTAATACTGTCTACTGTGTAAATATCTTTATCATCAACTGGCTACTGTGGCAATGTGTTTTCCTGGTACTGTCTACCATGTCTACTGGGCAATGTGTTTTCCTGGTACTGTCTACCATGTCTACTGGGCAATGTGTTTTCCTTGTACTGTCTACTGTGGCAATGTGTTTTCCAGGTACTGTCTACTGTGGCAATGTGTTTTCCTGGTACTGTCTACCATGTCTACTGGGCAATGTGTTTTCCTGGTACTGTCTACCATGTCTACTGGGCAATGTTTTTTCCTGGTACTGTCTACTATGTTTACTGGCAATGTGTTTTCCTGGTACTGTCTACCATGTCTACTGTGGCAATGTGTTTATCTTCTGTTGTCTGCCATGTCTACTGTGGCAATGTGTTTATCTGGTGCTGTCTGCCATGTCTACTGTGGCAATGTGTTTTCCTGGTACTGTCTACCATGTCTACTGTGGCAATGTGTTTTCCTGGTACTGTCTACCATGTCTACCAATGTGTTTTCTACCTTGTGTGGCAATGTGTTTTCCTGGTACTGTCTACTGTGGCAATGTCTACTGTGGTGGCAATGTGTTTTCTTCTGGTACATTGTCTTTACCATGTCTACCTATTTTGCAATGTGTTTATCCTGGTACTGTCTACCATGTCTACTGGCTACTGGCAATGTGTTTTCCTGGTACTGTCTACCATGTCTACTGGTACTGTCTACCATGTCTAATGTGTTTTCCTGGTACTGTCTACCATGTCTACTGTGGCAATGTGTTTTCCTGGTACTGTCTACCATGTCTACTGTGGCAATGTGTTTTCCTGGTACTGTCTACCATGTCTACTGTGGCAATGTGTTTTCCTGGTACTGTCTACCATGTCTACTGTGGCAATGTGTTTTCCTGGTACTGTCTACTGTGGCAATGTGTTTTCCTGGTACTGTCTACTGTGGCAATGTGTTTTCCTGGTACTGTCTACCATGTCTACTGTGGCAATGTGTTTTCCTGGTACTGTCTATTATGTCTACTGGGCAATGTGTTTACCTTCAGTTGTCCATCCTGCCTATTATATAGACATGTCTTTATAGATGGTGGGTCCTGTTTATTTGTTAATCAGTCACCAAGTACTCTCTGCTGATCTCCATTACATACTTTCCAACTGTGAACATGTTTAGTGCTGATTAGTGCCTATAATAGCTGAACAGTTTGATTATGTCACTGATAACCATGCTTATCCTGTTTGATCACTACTGTGTATTGTGTACAGGACCTGGAGTCGCTGATTGACCACTACAGCGGGGAGGCCAAGGCTTGGCGTCGGCGGGAGGATGACATGAAGAACACCATTCAGGTAGAGCACTCTAGGACTTACAACTAAGGGGTTGAACTTACTGAAATTTGAAACTGTGTTCCTTAGAAGGTTGCTTTTTAAAATTAGTGATAGCCAGAAAGTGACAGGAAGTAAGGCCTGCTTTTTATCCTTACCTGGAAGGTGTTTGTAGGAGTGACTTATAAGCAATATTCCAGCAACACTGTAGACGCTAACACCGACTGCAGGCTTCACACATTGTATCCCTGTGGGGTATTGGACCTGGGACATGGGTGAACATTTCAACCATGAGGTTAACCAACCATCCTGTATTCATGAGAAGAAAGGCCTGGTTAGGGGTTGATATAACTATTGAGACCTGGATGTTGGTATTTGAGGAGAGTATGAGTGTTGTTGTCCTTCCAGAAACTCCAGCAGCAACAGACGGAGAACAATGTCCTGAATGAGTCCAAAAATCAGAAGAAGGAGAGTCTCTTCAACCACCTGAAGCTGTACCAGCAGGAGGTGCAGGACCAGAAACAGCTCATCAAGGTCAGCTCCACACCTGTATATCCACTAGACCTGGAGGTGCCAGAATGTGTACCACACCTGTACATCCACTAGACCTGGACATGCCAGAATGTGTACCACACCTGTGCATACCAAGGTCTCTTCTGTAAAGAAGTGATCAGTTCATGTTAACACAAGTGTCTCTGTATTTCTGTAGGTAATATTGCCTCCAGGTGTTGTGTGTTTATCAATGCTGTACCTCCTATTTCCCAGGACCTGCAGTCCACCATGAAGAGTTGCCTGGCCGAGAGGCAGGTCAAGTCTGGTGAGCTGCGGCTGCTGGTGCAGGTGGGTAAAGTGAAAGTCAGTGTTGGAACTTGTCTTCAGCAACCTATGCTTGTCGTAAGAGATGACTCGTGTGATCAGTTAGTCAAGATCCCCTGAAAGTCATTGTATGAACTTGTCTTCAGCAACCTATGCTTGTCGTAAGAGATGACTCGTGTGATCAGTTGGTCAAGACCCCCTGAAAGTCAGTGTTGGAACTTGTCTTCAGCAACCTATGCTTGTCGTAAGAGATGACTCGTGTGATCAGTTGGTCAAGACCCCCTGAAAGTCAGTGTTGGAACTTGTCTTCAGCAACCTATGCTTGTGAAAGATGACTCGTGTGATCAGTGACCCCTGAAAGTCAGTGTTGGAACTTGTCTTCAGCAACCTATGCTTGTCGTGAAGAGATGACTCGTGGTGATCAGTTGGTCAAGACCCCTGAAAGTCAGTGTTGGAACTTGTCTTCAGCAACCTATGCTTGTCGTGAAGAGATGACTCGCGGTGATCAGTTGGTCAAGACCCCTGAAAGTCAGTGTTGGAACTTGTCTTCAGCAACCTATGCTTGTCGTGAAGAGATGACTCGTGCGTGATCAGTTGGTCAAGACCCCCTGAAAGTCAGTGTTGGAACTTGTCTTCAGCAACCTATGCTTGTCGTAAGAGATGACTCGTGTGATCAGTTGGTCAAGACCCCCTGAAAGTCAGTGTTGGAACTTGTCTTCAGCAACCTATGCTTGTCGTGAAGAGATGACTCGTGGTGATCAGTTGGTCAAGACCCCCTGAAAGTCAGTGTTGGAACTTGTCTTCAGCAACCTATGCTTGTCGTAAGAGATGACTCGTGTGATCAGTTGGTCAAGACCCCCTGAAAGTCAGTGTTGGAACTTGTCTTCAGCAACCTATGCTTGTCGTAAGAGATGACTCGTGTGATCAGTTGGTCAAGACCCCCTGAAAGTCAGTGTTGGAACTTGTCTTCAGCAACCTATGCTTGTCGTAAGAGATGACTCGTGTGATCAGTTGGTCAAGACCCCCTGAAAGTCAGTGTTGGAACTTGTCTTCAGCAACCTATGCTTGTCGTAAGAGATGACTCGTGTGATCAGTTGGTCAAGACCCCCTGAAAGTCAGTGTTGGAACTTGTCTTCAGCAACCTATGCTTGTCGTAAGAGATGACTCGTGTGATCAGTTGGTCAAGACCCCCTGAAAGTCAGTGTTGGAACTTGTCTTCAGCAACCTATGCTTGTCTCAAGAGATGACTCGTGTGATCAGTTGGTCAAGACCCCCTGAAAGTCAGTGTTGGAACTTGTCTTCAGCAACCTATGCTTGTCGTAAGAGATGACTCGTGTGATCAGTTGGTCAAGACCCCTGAAAGTCATTGTTGGAACTTGTCTTCAGCAACCCATGCTTGTCGTAAGAGATGACTCGTGTGATCAGTTGGTCAAGACCCCCTGAAAGTCATTGTTGGAACTTGTCTTCAGCAACCTATGCTTGTTGTAAGAGATGACTCGTGTGATCAGTTGGTCAAGACCCCCTGAAAGTCAGTGTTGAACTTGTCTTCAGCAACCTATGCTTGTCGTAAGAGATGACTCGTGTGATCAGTTGGTCAAGACCCCCTGACTTGACCAATTGTAACCAATTGCATAGATTGATGCTCATGATGTCAATCACAGGATTGTCTAATTCAGACAGGATATTATTTTTAGACTGGAATATTCCTGAAAGTGGTGTTCAACAACAAACACTTACTGTATATGAATAGAGTCGTCTGCAGCTGGTCATCATGGAAATATGATGGTGGTCAATTTGCAGATGATGTCCTTGGTTAATCATAGGTCACACTATCACCACTCACATGTTGTTCTCTCTTTTGATAGATGATGTATAGAAATTGCTTTCCCAGACATTTAAAAGTTTAGTGTTCAGACACAGGGTGTCGCAGTCTAAGGTGCCACAACTTACTGTGCTTTCCTTGGACTCGGCACAAACCTATGATCACTGGTTTGTGTCCCGGTTCTTCCTGATTATGTTTTGTCAGCACCATTCTAGCAGGTTTCACCAAGGTGGTAAATGTCCAAAACCAACTTTTCTCAGCCATAAGGTGACTCGCTATGATATAACTGGAATACTATTAAACCAGAGATTAACCCAAGTCCCTACTATTCAGACAAGTGATCTCCCCTCTTTTTACGCAGGAGCTGGAGACAGAGAAGCAGAGCCTGGAGCGGGAGTTTGAGCAGGAGCAGGAGGTGGCTGAGGAGCACAGGGCTCTCCTGGACAAACAGAATAAGGTAGTGCATGATGTTCCTGTAGGTACAGATCTGTAAAGATCCGGGTTAGAATTGGTCTTGTTATAAGAGGCGACTTACAGATCGGGTGGTCAGGCTCCCTGACTTGAATGAGACATGTCATTGAATCCCAGTTGCGTAGGTCGATGCTCATGCTGTTGATCACTGGATTGTCTGGTCCAGATGTGATTATTTACAGACCGTTGCAACTGTTTGGAATATTGCTGAGTGTGATGTTGAACAAGAAACAGACAAAACTATCTAGTAGGTAGAGGCATAAATATTACAACATATGAAAGGTTTCTCAGTGGTTTCCTCGTGTGTAAATATGTACAAAGATTCATAAGTGTTTTGTTCATGAGCAGTCATTTTCCCAAAGTGACCTAAGGCCAGTAAACAACAGAAAAGGTTTTACTGATTGACCTTAATTTCATGTATTTTTTTCTTCAAGTTCTTGACACACATATAGCTCACATGAAATATATAACAAACACGGCTAAGTTTACGTAGTTCTTCAATCTGGTGATGTGTTTTTGGAACCTCAGCATTACTTTTATTGGTCTCACTTGTATGACCAGCTCTGGCACATTTCAATCTTTTGATGCCTTTGTGAAAGAAAGCCCATGGTCCTGTTTGGCTAAACCATCTTAGTGCTAAGATGATAGCACTACTCTAACTTAGACTTAAGACAATCATGGCATTAAGATCACTTCATGAAAGGAGCCCCGGGTTGAGGAAGTTATAAAGTACCACATGTTGTTTTCAGGAGCTGGAGGAGTTGTCTGTCCTTGTTTCCAAACTTCAGGAAGAATGTGAGGATGCTGAAAGAGAGAAGAAAAATATCATGGAGGAATACACTGCTAGGTCAGTTGTTACATCGTGTCGTATCAACATTCAATACTGGTTGCTTGATATTATTTAGTTGTGAAAATGTGTATGAACCTACAAATTATCAAGCATGCTCAGACACTGATGCTTGGTGTCTTCTTGGTGTCATTGAAGAGAACTGTGTAGTGGATAGGACATCTGAAAGAGTGGAAGGTGGTTAATTTGATTTCCAACTGGTACTTCATAAAGCCTGCTTGGTGCTCAGCATCAAGGAACAAATGATTGACTGTTGGCTCGCGGTCAGCAGACGGACCCTGGGTGGTTTATCTTCATAAAATTGCAGCATGATATCTCAGTGGGCTGTCATTACAAATAAGGCATTAGAAGAAGACACACACACCTACACGTAACATGAACCTATATATGTGCAATAAATTTGTCGTCACCTAAATGAATTCAAATAATGTACACGTGTTGTCACAATACATGGTCAGTATTGATCACCATGAAAGGCTTTTATCCCCTTCATTATGGCAGGTGTAAGCTATTAGGTCATACTGCTGGTGTTTTGATTTCAGACTTGATACCTCTGTACAGAAGTTGACTTCGGAGAAGCTCACCCTTGAGAAGAAGATTGCATCACTCCACAGCCAGTCTGAGTCTCTGCAGCGACAGGTGGATGACTTGGCTGACAGGCTGAAGTCCGCTGACCGCCGTCTTTCTGAGTCCAAGACTCAGATACAGCAGCTGTGTGAGGAGAAGGCCAACCTCCAGATGAGGATGGAGTCCCTCCAGAGGAGGTCCGCCAGTCAGGATGAGGACATGAAGGCAAAGGCAGAACTCAACGTCCAGATCAACACTCTACAGAAGGAAAAGAGAGCTATTGAGACCAAGGTGGAAGATCTGTCTGAGGAGAAGGAACAGATTGAGAGGAAGATGAAGAACTTGGAGAAGGACAAGGAAGATTTGAAGGTGAAGGTTCAGAAGTTGGAAGAGATTGAGAGGGAGAAGGGTCAGTTGGAGAGGAAGTTGAGTCGGTTGGAGAGAGTGGAGAAGGACAAGGAGGAAATGGAACAGAAGCTGGAGAAGTTAAGGAGTGTTAGCCGGGAGAAACAGGACTTGGAGACCAAGCTGATGAGGCTTGAGAGGGTTCAGAAGGAGAAGGACAGACTGGAGGAACAGCTGCAGGGTGTGGAGAAAGAGAAACGAGAACTTGAGAGGAAGATAGTGAGAATAGAACGTGGGGAGAAGGATAGGGAAGGTGTACAGGAAAAGTTGGAGAAGGACAAGACTTCTTTAGAGGAGAAGATTCGGAGGTTGGAGAAAGTGGAGGAAGAGAAGCATCAGCTTCAGGAAAAGGTGATCAGGTTGCAGAGACTTGAGGTGGAGGTGGATGAGCTTAAGGACAAACTGAAGAATATGGAGAAGTCTGAAAAGGAGAACCTGAAAAAAAGTGAAAAGGAGAAGTCTCATCTCGAAGAGAGGGTTCGGCAGCTGAAGAAGGTGGAAGATGAGAAGTGTGAGCTACAGGGGAAGGTGACCAGGTTGCAGCGACTTCAGGCAGAGGTTGAAGAGCTTAATGACAAGCTAAAAAATGTAGAAAAGTCTGACAAGGAAAAGAGTCAGAGACTGTCTAGGACAGAGGAAGACAGGGTGAAAAAGGAATCACTGGTACAAAGACTTAACCTTGAGAAGAAAGACTTAGAGCAGAAGGTTAAAAAGCTGGAGATGATGAAATATGAATTGGAGAAGACAGAGGATGAGAAGAGAGATCTGGAGGTGAAGGTCATTCGATCTAGGAAGACTGGAGAATGAGAAGAAGGATTTAGAGGACAAATTACGGGATTTGGAAAAAGGCAAATTTGATGTTCAAAAGGCTGAAGAAGAAAGGAGAACTCTTGAGAGGAAGGTGAGTCGGTTGGAGAAGATGGAGGTAGAGAAGAGGGATCTGGAAGAAAAGCTGAAGAAGACACAAAAGGAGAAACAGGATCTGGAGAAATCAGAGAAGGAGAAGAGAGAACTTGAGATCAAGGTGAACTGCTTGGTACACTTAGAGACTGAAAAGAAAGAATTAGAGACAAAGGTAAAACAGTCGGATAAGTTAGAGAAAGAGAAGCAATCCTTAGAGAAAAATTTAAGGAAGTTGGAAAGTGAAAAAGAACTACTTGAGAAAAAGGTGGAGGATTTGGAAAAAAAGGTCCGTGAGAAATCTGGTAGTGACAACAGGCGTTCGTTGGTTGATAGGTTGCAGACAGAGAAATCTGACCTCCAACGAAAGGTTGAAACTCTTGAGAAGGAGAAAGATAATCTGAATCGGGACAATTTGAGAAAGAGGACATCCATGCATGAAAGTGACCTTCAGAAGGCAAAGAATGACCTTGAAGACAAAGTCAAGAGATTAGAAAAAGTGACTGGGGATCTTGAACAAGAACTCAGCCGTAGCAAAGAACAGATCAACCAGATAAATGATCAAGGTAGTAGGAGGCATTCTGTACAGGATAAGGTTGTGTCACTTATGAAGGAAAATGCCAGTCTCAGAGTTTCCCTGGAGAAGTCCAAATCACAGGCAGAAAAGGCAGCTGAACTGAAGACAGAGAAACTTAAGCTTGAATCTCAAGTGGATGAGCTCCAGCTGGTTAGAAATAGTTTGAAAAGGACAAAATCATTTGCTGTGTCCAAAGACAATCAGGTTGATGACCTTGAGCAAGAAAAAAGATACCTAGAGGCCAAGGTTAATGGTCTGCAGAAGCAGCTTGACCAAAAGAAGGTAGCAGACGGCAAAAGCAGTGATCAGACGTCTGAGTTAGTCAGTCTCAAACAGGAGAAGGTGAAGTTGGAGGAACGGGTGAAGCAGCTGACAGAGATGACAGCAACGCTGCAGAAGGAGCTGGAGACGTTGTTGGAGGAGACGGATGGTGTGGATGACCTGAAGGATCAGAATGAGAAGCTGCAGACAGAGATGGACTCGCTGAAGAAGAAGCTTGATGCACAGGATCAGGTCAAGGTCAGTGGAGGTGTTGACACCTTCTGTAGTCATTGTATATGATCGCAGTAATGTATTATTTTTCGGTATGAAAAGTCAAAAATAACAGTAACAGTTTTGTGCTGTGTATTTTGATGTTCGACATAGTTTCAACCTTTTATTAAGTTTAATGAACGAGATGTGAGGATGTCTCTTGTATAGAAACTTTTGCTATTTCTTTCACTTAATTTTCTTTACTCTTGCATGAAATCATAATATTATGATATTCAGACACTTTTTGGTGAGCCACAGAGCTTACCTTGTCTTTTATTATAGATTACTTCACTAAAAGTTTGATCCTTTCTATAGAACTAGTTACCAAGTAACACCAGACTGATGTGTTCATCATCAGTTCATCTTGGCATGCTGAAACAGAAGTATTTCCTTTTTGCTGAATACTTTGCAATTAATTAACAACATCATGTAATTGAATAAAACTGGTTGTGAAAATAAGGATGTAAGGGTAGACACCATGTTTCTACTGAACATTTAGACTGACATGGTTTTCCAACTAGAACTCAAACCAGAACAACAACAGTAGTCTGGCCTCTCTGCGACAAGAGCTGAACGAGTCTAACTTGGCACTGAGTGAGGCGAGGTCGCTTCTGTCTGCTGCGCAGCGCCAGGAGTTGGAGCTGCGAGATCAGATCCACCTGATGCAGAGGCAGCTGGACAACAACGCCATGGAACGTGGTGTCAAGAGAAACGTGAGTCGTAGAATCTCTGAAGGTTCCATCTAAGGATCTGTTTGGGCCTGGGGTCTAGTTTTTCTCATAAGAGTGTTTGGACAAGAGCCCATAAAGATCATGCTTAGGATTTAGGAGTCGTAGAACAGCCTATGATTGTCGTAAGAGGAGAGTAACATAGACTCTCTGTCTTGGTTGATCCAGACGGGGCGGTGGGGTAGCCTAGTTGTTAAAGCATTTGCTCGTCACACGTCGAAGACCCGGGTTGGCTTCCCCACATAGGTACTATGTGTCAAGCCCATTTCTGGTGTCCTCCGCCATGATATTGTTGGAATATTGCTAAAAATGGTGTCAAACCATACCCGCTTACTCACTCTAGTCCAGACTAGATTATTATGTGAAACAAAAGCAATCCAAAGAAACATGGAGAATGGTGGGCTAGTGAACAGTCTTAGGTTCTAATAGATTTGGGTAACTTGTGCAATGGAGGATTGAGGTTGGAAGTGTGTGAGGGATGTATTGGATTATGAACTGGAATAGAGTTGTGACATTTTCAGGATGAACAGCCAGCCGTCCAACATGTACAGGAGGTTGTGAAAGTCGTAAGAAATCTGTTTTATACATAATCATGTTCATTGGGTGGAGAGTTTCATTATGTTCATATCTTTAATCATGTTCATATCTTTAATCATGTTCATATCTTTAATCATGTTCATATCTTTAATCATGTTCATATCATTAATCATGTTCATTGGGTGGAGAGTTTCATTATGTTCATACCGTTAATCATGTTCATATCTTTAATCATGTTCATATCTTTAATCATGTTCATATCATTAATCATGTTATATATATATCTACTACCTTGACAACCAAGCCTTCTTGCACAAAGTAATCTGTGGCATCACACCAGTATCACTGTGATGAGTTAGGTGTTCATTTGGCCTCTTCCACCACTACTGGACTATTTAGATGTGTTATTGGCTAATGCTTTGTGGCATTCAGAAAACAGAACCGACTTTAGTGCACACCATTATCATCACTCCACAGGTCTGTGTACATTTTTCCTGATCATCTTCTTCTATATGGGACATTTTGCAGTATAGTCTCTATTTCTAAGGGGACATGGGGTAACCTTGTCTAGCTGAAGACCTGGGTTCGATTCCTGACATGCTGATCATCTTCTTCTATATAGGACATTTTGCAGTATAGTCTCTATTTCTAAGGGGAACGTGGGGTAACCTGGGTTCGATTCCTGACATGCGTACAATGTGTGAAGCCCATTTCTGGTGTCCCCCGCTGTGATATTGCTGGAATATTGCTAAAAGTGGCGTAAAACTAAACTCACTCATGTCCTAGAAATCAGGGCCTCAAACTGCTGTGTAGCTTGCAGTACTTTGTGCAGGAAGGTTTTGTAATAACATGCTGGAAGGATATTACTAACTTCTGATTGGTAGGTTCACACTGGAAGTATGGCCTCTTCTGTTTCCATTGATATCTACTGCCATGCTTTTCATTAACACACCATGTACTGTTTGTTGATCAGGTTCACTAGACTCTTTCCTATCATATAGCAGTGGATAAAGGTTTCATCATCATAATTATTCTAATCCATTATCAGTGTAATATACGGGTTGGTGGATGGTCAAACCATTGGTTCGCCACACCCATTCCCCACTGGGTACAATGTGTGAAGCCCATTTCTGGTGTCCGCCCGGGCATGATATTGCTGGATTATTGCTAAAGCAGCATAAAACTAAACTCACTCAATGTAAGATACAATTACAGTATAACCAATACCTTGTTCATTTATGCCTTTTACAAGAGGAATCTTGTCAGGTCAATAGAAAATGGTTAGGACTTTAATTGTGACCACACAGATAAGAATTACTGACGACTACAATTAATCCCATGTAACCATGCACTATACTGTTATTCTGTCAACATCCAGCTGTTGATCAGGTAGGGACCAGTTCAAAATTTCAGCGTAAGATAGAAAAGTCAGTTCATCAAGTTTTGAGACATAGCTCTCTTCCACTGTGCTCTTGAAAACAAATTAATGCTGAAATTTGACAATACTGAATTCCTTATATAGCTAAACATTAAGAAGTCAGATAACTATATTTTGGTACCATTCGTTATTTTCATCTGACACAACGTGACCGATATTATGGAATGTTTACAGTCCGTTTGAGTCAGAAACGGGACCGATGAATTGCAAATTTTATCATTGTACAAAATTGCCACATAAATATAAATAGTACACATGTTTATCATTTACTAATACCCAACAGCTTTCTTATATTTGAAAATTTTCCGGACTCCACCAAAAAAATTCTTTAAGAAACTATCATTAAAATTTTGACACAGTTCACTATTTGTTACGAGGGAGGAGTGCAGAGAAAGGGACAGCCAGGTGTGCGAGAAAGGATGGAGACGGCACAGCACAGGCTAATGAATCAATAACTTGGTGGGCACTTGTGCACGTGCTTCTCTAACACCTGGCTGTCCCTTTCTCTACACTCCTCCCTCGTAACAAATAGTGAACTGTGTCAAAATTTTCATGATTAGTTTCTTAAAGAACTTTTAAGAAAGCTGTTGGGTATTAGTAAATGATAAACATGTGTACTATTTATATTTATGTGGCAATTTTGTACAATGATAAAATTTGCAATTCATCGGTCCGTTTCTGACTCAAACGGACTGTAGGCAGGAAGGACAAACAAGATAGAAGGCGTATTTAAGATGCCATATACAATATTGAGAAATATGGTAAATTGAGTTTGTTGTCCAAATTTGCAGTCTCAGTAACGCCCTCATTCCAGTTAAGATTTTTATCTGACATCATACTTTTGAACTGGTCACATAGACAACCACTTGATATTCAGGGTGACAGTTAACAGGGATGGCAATTTTCCTCGGATTTTATTTCAAATTGTTCAATTGTGAATTGTCTAAATCCATTGAGAAACCCTCAACTCAATGACTCAATATTACGTTTTCAGCTGAAAATATATTTTCCTGTTGCCATCCCTGAGTTAAGGGGACTTGCATTGGATTTTTGAGACTGAATATATATTCTTCTGGAAAGACCTTGGTACAAAGTTTCATTTGTAGACATTGACTTCCAGTTTATAACAGTACATGAATGGCAATTTTCCGCTGATCCACGGATTTATTTTAAATTGTTCAATTGTGAATCGTCTAAATCCATTGAGAAACCCCCATTCGATGACACAATATTAAGTTTTCCTCTGTTTTCCTGTTGCCATCCCTGACAGTATAATGGACAATTTCTGGCTTAGTTATAGTCCCATCCCCTGAATATCAAATTGTGGATGGCTTGTTATCATGGTTACAAGAAGACTACATGTTGTTTTTTCAAGTTGTTTTCTGGTAAGTCTGAATTGTTGATGTTGACAGTCCAAGCATATCTTGCAACAACCATTGCTTACATAATGCTGTGTTGGTACAAATATTACCAGTTCTTTTGAAGTTTTGTGTCTGATTTTTTTAAATAATCTTTTCCATATTAGCTTTACATCATATCCAAGGTATATAAAATAAATAATCAGTTGAATGTGATAAGGAAAACTAGGAACAATTGCCAGAACCAAGCAGGTTGCACTGAATCGTGTTTGGCTCTGTAAAAGTATGCAGTTGAATCTTTCATTTTTACCAGAACAATGAAAGATTCTTTACTTTACTTTGTTTATCATATGTCCCTCTGTTGGTCACAGACTGTGGGGTTATTGTTGCAGGCTCAAGATGAGAAGGACGCAGAGCTTCGTCTGTTGAAGTCCAAGTATGAAATGTTCACCAGACAGAACAAGGTCAGTTTACATCTTGGACAAAATAGAATGGAAATTATGCATCATGTATCATAAAATTAGTAAACTCATCCAATGAGTGTGCTGTTCCAATTGTCAGACAAGTTGTTTGTTCATCCAGTGATTGTGGTGTTGTTGTCAGACATGTTGTTTGTTCATCCAGTGATTGTGGTGTTGTTGGCAGACATGTTGTTTGTTCATCCAGTGATTGTGGTGTTCCTATTGTCAAAGTGTTTGTTCATCCAGTGATTGTGGTGTTGTTGGCAGACATGTTGTTTGTTTATCCAGTGATTGTGGTGTTCCTATTGTCAAAGTGTTTGTTCATCCAGTGATTGTGGTGTTGTTTGTCAGACATGTTGTTTGTTCATCCAGTGATTGTGCTGTTGCTATTGTAAGACAAGTTGTTTGTTCATCCAGTGATTGTGCTGTTGCTATTGTAAGACAAGTTGTTTGTTCATCCAGTGATTGTGCTGTTGCTGTTGTAAGACAAGTTGTTTGTTCATCCAGTGATTGTGCTGTTGCTGTTGTCAGACAAGTTGTTTGTTCATCCAGTGATTGTGCTGTTGCTGTTGTCAGACAAGTTGTTTGTTCATCCAGTGATTGTGGTGTTGTTGTCAGACAAGTTGTTTGTTCATCCAGTGATTGTGCTGTTGCTGTTGTCAGACAAGTTGTTTGTTCATCCAGTGATTGTGCTGTTGCTGTTGTCAGACAAGTTGTTTGTTCATCCAGTGATTGTGGTGTTGCTGTTGTCAGACAAGTTGTTAATCATCCAGTGATTGTGGTGTTGCTGTTGTCAGACAAGTTGTTAATCATCCAGTGATTGTGGTGTTGCTGTTGTCAGACAAGTTGTTTGTTCATCCAGTGATTGTGGTGTTGCTGTTGTCCAGACAAGTTGTTTGTTCATCCAGTGATTGTGGTGTTGTTGTTTGTCAGACAAGTTGTTTGTTCATCCAGTGATTGTGGTGTTGCTGTTGTCAGACAAGTTGTTTGTTCATCCAGTGATTGTGGTGTTGCTGTTGTCAGACAAGTTGTTTGTTCATCCAGTGATTGTGGTGTTGTTGTCAGACAAGTTGTTTGTTTATCAAGTGATTGTGGTGTTGTTGTCAGACAAGTTGTTTGTTTATCCAGTGATTGTGGTGTTGTTGTCTGACAAGTTGTTTGTTCATCCAGTGATTGTGGTGTTGCTGTTGTCAGACAAGTTGTTTGTTCATCCAGTGATTGTGGTTTTGTTGTCTGACAAGTTGTTTGTTTATCCAGTGATTGTGCTGTTGTTGTTGTCAGACAAGTTGTTTGTTCATCCAGTGATTGTGGTGTTGCTGTTGTCAGACAAGTTGTTTGTTCACAAGTTGTTTGTTCATCCAGTGATTGTGGTGTTGCTGTTGTCAGACAAGTTGTTAATCATCCAGTGATTGTGGTGTTGCTGTTGTCAGACAAGTTGTTTGTTCATCCAGTGATTGTGGTGTTGCTGTTGTCAGACAAGTTGTTAATCATCCAGTGATTGTGGTGTTCCTGTTGTCAGACAAGTTGTTTGTTCATCCAGTGATTGTGCTGTTCCTGTTGTCAGACAAGTTGTTTGTCATCCAGTGATTGTGGTGTTCCTGTTGTCAGACAAGTTGTTAATCATCTAGTGATTGTGCTGTTCCTGTTGTCAGACAAGTTGTTTGTTCATCCAGTGATTGTGGTGTTGCTGTTGTCAGACAAGTTGTTTGTTCATCCAGTGATTGTGGTGTTCCTGTTGTCAGACAAGTTGTTTGTTCATCCAGTGATTGTGTGGTGTTGTTGTCTTGTTGTCAGACAAGTTTTGTTCATCCAATGATTGTGGTGTTAAGCTGTTGTCAGACAAGTTGTTTGTTCATCCAGTGATTGTGGTGTTGTTGTTGTCAGACAAGTTGTTTGTTCATCCAGTGATTGTGGTGTTGTTTGTCAGTTGTTAATCATCTAGTGATTGTGGTGTTGCAGACATCTAGTTGTTAATCATCTAGTGATTGTGGTGTTCCTGTTGTCAGACAAGTTGTTCATCATCTAGTGATTGTGCTGTTCCTGTTGTCAGACAAGTTGTTTGTTCATCCAGTGATTGTGGTGTTGCTGTTTGTCAGACAAGTTGTTTGTTCATCCAGTGATTGTGGTGTTGCTGTTGTCAGACAAGTTGTTAATCATCCAGTGATTGTGGTGTTCCTGTTGTCAGACAAGTTGTTAATCATCCAGTGATTGTGGTGTTCCTGTTGTCAGACAAGTTGTTAATCATCCAGTGATTGTGTTGTTCCTGTTGTCAGACAAGTTGTTAATCTTCCAGTGATTGTGCTGTTCCTGTTGTCAGACAAGTTGTTAATCATCCAGTGATTGTGCTGTTCCTGTTGTCAGACTCTGGAGGAGAAACTGGTGAAGATTCAGAAGGAGCGTAGCCTTGACATTCTGGAACTGGCCAAGGTCAAGGCCCAGATTAATGACAAGGACAGGCAGATAGAGCTGGAGGTCAAGGTCAGTGTTCTTAGTCATCAGTTATTTTGACATTCGACAGAAATCTTTGCTTACAGGTAAATATTAATAACATAATAGTCACTGATGTATTTGTCAGTTCCTATGTGTCATGTGTTACAGAAAGTGGAGAAGTTCCGTGGGGTGTGTAAGGAACTGGAGGAACAGATGAAGGACCTGGAGGCTCTTGTGGCAGAGTACGAGAAGCGGGAAGCCGAGTGGAATAAGATCAGGTAAAAAAATAGGTTTTCAAATATGTTTTTATCTCATTTCAAAGAAAGGGCTTGTAGTTCGGTAGAACAGTTCAGCTGTACTCAATTTCTACAAACTGAATAATGGAAGACGGTTTTCTTGTTCATTTTATTGGCATTGCAGTAAAATAGTTAAATGGTGTGTGTTGTACAGGAAGACGTATGAACAGGTGGTGGATGAACGAGAGGAGGAACTTGAGGGAACCAGTCAGAGGTTGTCAGCCATAGAGCATGCCAGGTAGGTGATATGTCTGTTATATAGCAGGCCAGGTATGGGATAAGTCTGTCATTGAGCAGGCCAGGTAGGGGATATGTCTGTTATATAGCAGGCCAGGTATGGGATAAGTCTGTCATTGAGCAGGCCAGGTAGGGGATAATTCTGTCATAGAGAAGGCCAGGTAGGGGATAATTCTGTCATAGAGCAGGCCAGGTTGGGGATAAGTCTGTCATAGAGCAGGCCAGGTAGGGGATAAGAAGGCCAGGTTCTAAGTCTGTCATAGAGCAGGCCAGGTAGGGATAATTCTGTTATAGAGAAGGCCAGGTTGGGATAAGTCTGTCATAGAGCAGGCCAGGTAGGGGATAATTCTGTTATAGAGAAGGCCAGGTTGGGATAAGTCTGTCATAGAGCAGGCCAGGTAGGGAATAATCTGTCATAAAAAGGCCAGGTTTGGGATAAGTCTCTGTCATAAGTCTGTCAGAAGGCCAGGTTGGGATAAGTCTGTCAGGTTTGGGATAAGTCTGTCATAGAAGGCCAGAGAGAGGCCAGGTTTGGGATAAGTCTGTCATAGAGAAGGCCAGGTTTGGGATAAGTCTGTCATAGAGGGCCAGGTTTGGGATAAGTCTGTCATAGAGAAGGCCAGGTTTGGGATAAGTCTGTCATAGAGCAGGCCAGATAAGGGAATAATCTGTCATAGAGAAGGCCAGGTTTGGGATAAGTCTGTCATAGAGAAGGCCAGGTTTGGGATAAGTCTGTCATAGAGAAGGCCAGGTTCGGGATAAGTCTGTCATAGAGCAGGCCAGGTTTGGGATAAGTCTGTCATAGAGAAGGCCAGGTTTGGGATAAGTCTGTCATAGAGAAGGCCAGGTTTGGGATAAATCTGTCATAGAGAAGGCCAGGTTTGGGATAAGTCAGTCATAGAGAAGGCCAGGTTCGGGATAAGTCTGTCATAGAGAAGGCCAGGTAGGAGGTGAATCAGTGATGGAGAAGTCTAGTTAGTGGATATTAAAAGCAGGTTTGATTATTCAGTTTCTGTGTCAAAGTTTGAGTTACCTTTGAAAATACAAGTACATGTGTTTGTGAAGAAACCAACGAGATATTTTCTTACAATATTCCCAGATCTTCCAATGACCAGCGTCTGACAAGCCTGAAGCAGCAGCTGAAGTCCGCCAAGGCTGCCCACAAGAGTGAAGTAGAGGCATTAAACCACAAATTGTGGGAAGAGAGAGCCAAGGGACAGAAGTTCAACAACAAGGTGAGTCTGGGAATCATGTAGCCAACCACTGGATGACAGATTTGCTTGTATCCACTGGGGTGAAGAAACAGGTCCAGGTTTTATGATGAATGAAAGAGACTGTTTTATGATTCAGATGTCTGATCTGAAAGAAAAGTGTGAGAAGAGCGAGCAGATCCTGAGTCACCAGAAGCATATCCTGGATGCCCAGGACACCGACAAGATCAAGCTGAAGGAGGAGGTAGGACAACAGACTGAACATGGATGTGCTGCAATTGTTTGAGCAGAGTTTCAGTTCTTACATGTGCCAGGATCTGCTGATTAAACCCAACTTATTGTCTATTACATGTACTTCACTAAAGTCCCTTTGGGATTTTCTCCCACATTTAGCTAATACTCAAATATCTCAATCAGATATCGACCCCCACAAACATCTGGGTTCGAATTGATTTTCAGCAACCAGTGCTTGTTGTAGGATGTGAGTAACAGTATAGGGTGGGGGTGTTCAGTGTATGTTGTCATATCCAATCATAGATCAGTGTCAGTGATGTTACGTAACAGTTATCTGGTCCAGTTATCAAGGACAACCTTCATACAGCTGAGGACCACCTCCGTGGTGTAGTGGTTAGATCCGGGTAGAATAAGGTCTTCATCCCCGCAACCCATGCTTGCCAAAAATATGGTACTTGTTGGTCCCTGCCTGGCTCAGCATTAATGGGTATCGGGTGGACTGGCTCGCTGTATAATGTGTCTGAGTTGGGTATTCATTCTTCATCGGTATCCAGTGGGCTAGCACTCATGCCAGTTGATCACTAGATTGTCTGCAGCAGACTACATTATTTACAGACATGCACGCCGCCATATAGCTGGAATATTGCTGAGTACGGTGTAAAACTAAACTAACTCACTCATACAGCTGAACTACTGCTGAACACATTGGTAACCAATTTTGTGCTACTGTGTGTTCAGATCTCCAAGATCCTGACTGAGAACCAGGAACTTAGAGGGAACAACCTGAAGCTGAGGAAGAACCTCGATGAAGCCATGGACAAGTTCGAGCTCATCTTCGGGGAGAAGATTGATCTCGAGAACTTTACTGAAGCCATGCAGGTAGCCCTAAAAACCTTTTCTATTTCTTGTGATGTCCTTTAACATAAGGCTTCATGAAGTGAATATTGAGTGATCATTTATCCTTTCCATTAATCATTGCCCTTAATAACAAATGTGGTCAAACTCTACGAGAGATATCTTTGTTTGCCAGGGCCTCCACTTCTTGGAGAAATACAAGTTTGAGAGTACCATCGGCCAGCAGATGAAACTGATAGACTATCTACAGGAACTGTGGCATGATAGTATGTCCAAGAAGAAGAAGGTACGTCCAGCACAATGGATGGTTTTATGTGGGTCATTCAACCTTTCTGAGAATCACCACATCTGTACTGCAGGCCCAGACACCATGTCATCTAAGGCTATGCCATCACTGGTTCAAATCCTGGTTGCCCTTCAGTGTTTCTGACTTTGTCAGCTCAGGCCTGACCCATGCCTGTGGTTCACCAAAGTGTTAAACATTTAGATCTGCGTTACATTAGGCTGTTCCCCAAAATCAAGATGTCAGGCACAATTTGACTGAAATATCCCATCATATATGTTGTAAAACACAAATGACTCGCTGATTCTATTGGGCACCAAGAACCAGTCACAGCATCGTCTCATGATGGAGGTAGCAGGTCAGGATTAACCGTGAGATTCAGTAATTCAGTCATTATACTGTTGTTGATTCATGAACAGGTGCTTGCTTAAACCAAAACATTTGCCCATATTAACACAGGGGAGTGGTGTTTTGTGTCTTACTGAGTGTCAAGGCTTTAGCTAACTATTAAATAAGATTAACTGTGATACAGTGGCTCATTTTGACTAATGTTACTATAATGTCAATACAGTAATAAATACTAGTTGTTACTTGTTACTGCTCGTTACTTTCAGCCTGGGGCCGGTGGGGTAGCCTGATGGTTAAAGCGTTCGCTCGTCACGCCGAAGACCCGGGTTCGATTCCCCACATGGGACCCAATGTGTGAAGCTCATTTCTGGTGTCCCCCGCCGGGATATTGCTGGAATATTGCTAAAAGCGGTGTAAAACAAAACTCACTCACTCACTACTTTCAGCCTGGCAAGATTTTTGGCAGCATGAGAGGCAAGGACGCACCGACTGTTGTTCCACAGTGGAAGGAGTTTCAGGCCAGTCTGGAGTCGGAGAGAAAGAAGAACTGTAAACTCCAGGAGCAGCTGGACCGACTACGCCAGGAGAACTACCAGCTGTCCAATGACTGTAAGTAGGACTCCGGCTCTTGAGTACAGAGTAGGACAGTGTTGTAGGCCAACTGACAAGATTGGACTTTCTACTCCAGTTGGTGACAGGAGGCACTAGAGGACAAACTGGCCATTGTGAAACTCAGTTAAATGGTTTAGATAAGTGTATGTTGTCACAACTCATTGTGATTACACACTAGCTACAGATAGAATGGAAGTCATACAAAGGTGATCTTTTTGGTGGAATTTTGGACTTGGCTCACAGTTGGGGCGGTGGGGTAGCCTAGTGGTTAAAGCGTTGGCTCGTCTCGCCGAAGACCCGGGTTCGAATCCCCACATGGGTACAATGTGTGAAGCCCATTTCTGGTGTCCCCCCAGCCATGATGTTCCTGGAATATTGCTAAAAGCGGCGTAAAACCAAACTCAGTCAGTCAGTTGCTCACAGTTTGTCAGAAATATATGAGTCTGTTTCATTTTAATTTTGGTGGAAAACATCGCAAATATATGAAAGTTCTAAATTTGGTTTATACTGTTTTGTATTATCCTTTGTGAGTGTTGCATAAGGATTCAAGGACCCAGTGAAGATCTGGGTTAGAATTGGTCTTCAGCTACCCATGCTTGTCATAAGATGCAGATAACATGATCGGGTGGTCAGGCTCACTGACTTGGTTGACACATCATCGTATCCCGATTGTGTACATCGATGCTCAAGCTGTTGATCAATGGATTATTTATTTATAGCTGGAATATTGTTGAGTGTTGTGTTAAACAACAAACTGTAAAGATTGTTTTTTTTGCTGTAGTACTGAAGCTGAAGGGTCCCCTCCGTGAAAAACTCATCTTGGATGGTACCAGTACTCTCACCCCCAAGGTGAAGGCCGCTGTAGCCGCCCTTGCACAGTCTCCGTCCAGTCAGCCCGACCCTGGTACACTGATGCCAGACGTTGCCTCCTACGTCGTAGGAACCCCATCAGCACCACAGCCTAAACAGCAACGCGCATGCATCACAACATCCCACACCGGTTTGTCACCGGCCTCAACACCCGGGCCACGAAATGTGCTGTGTGCCTTGGCAGTGTCCACTTCATCAAACAGGCCGCAAAATGTCAAGGTAAGCGAGAAACGCATGTAGAGTCAAATTCTTTAGATACTTGAGATACAGAGTGAGTGCGGAATGCAGAACAGTCAGACATAGTTGTGCTGTTTTGGTGTTCATATATTATCTCATACCCTTGAAGATCCGGGTTAGAATTAGTCTTCAGCAATGCATGCTTTTCGTAAGAGGCAACTAACGAGATTGGGTGGTCAGACTTGCTGACTTAGTTGACACATGTCATTGTATCCCAATTGCGTTGATCGATGTTCATGCTGTTGATCACTGGATTGTCTGGTCCAGACTTGATTATTTACAGACTGCCACCATACAGCTGTAATATTGCTGAGTGCAGTGTTAAACAACAAACAAACAAGCATATTAGCTCAGACCTCAGCTGGGTGGTTAAGGCATTAGCTCATTATGCTGTAGATGGGGTTTGTTACCACAACACAAGAAATAAGAGGTCAGACTCGCTGATTTGGTTGACACAAGTCATCAGTTTTCAATTGTGTAGATCGATGCTCATGCTGTTCATCACTGGATTGTCTAGTCCAGACTTGATTATTTACAGACTGCTGCCATATAGCTGGGATATTGCAGCATAAAACTACACTCACTCAAAAGAAATAAGTTCTCATTTTTTTTCTGTTATGATTAACAGTTTGTAAATGTCATTTGTAATAACCTATATGGTTATGGTCGGTTTTTTTAAATTATGTAAAATTCTGTTTATCAGTAGCAAAATATATTAAGGACACTCGTATTCTTTATCATTTTCAGAATGTCATATAGTGTGCCACCCCCGATGTGTGACGTCAGTCCCGGCGTCGTGTGGCCTGCCCACAGAGTATGTGAGTCACTACACGGGGATGATGGCGCGAGTCAACACCGAGCAGCCTCTGTACTACGGGGAGGAGGAGGAGGAGAAGGATCTGAGCAGCGCCATACGCATGGAGGGATGGCTGAAAGTGCCGCGGTATGCTGAACGTCTTTTGTGAGGGATGGGGGACCATGTTCTTTTCGCACATTTATGTGTCAGCATCACTAAGTGTCGAATGTCCACTGCTTATGAATTCCCGATGGCAAATGTCCTGATCAAACTTAGCATCAGGGAAGGTGATCTGACATTGTGTTAAATATATGAGTATATAACGATTCTTTAGAGTTACTAGCTACTTTGTAGTAAAAGTAACGTTCAGTGTTACCACTCTTTCCTAAAAGACGAGTGGACTGTGGAATGCACATATTCAGTGAAGCGCACCCCTTCATGAATTCAATTCATTATGCATGGTCACAAGAATCGAATATTTACAAACAGGAGTGTGTCTACTTGGAACTAGTTTGTTGTTGGAATATATCCAAGCCATGCAGTAACCTAAATTGTGTTGTTTTGCCATGGCACTGTCAACAGGCTACAAGTGGCATCGTTTGCAATGTGTTGCCTCTTAGCTCTGAAGAAAATATTATCTAGATGTTTCAACTTATACAATTACATGACGTTTGTTATTTTAATTTCGAGATTTTAAACATGAAGTATTTATGAATAGATCTTCATGTTCGTTACTATATATTTGTAAAACATATCGTATTCGCTTCATAGTGTATTCGCTGCAACCCTGGAATGCAGATGTGCAGATATGGTTGAAAATAATTTTTAAATTATGATTTAATTGTTTTGAAATTTTCCTCTCTCCAAATCTCACAGAACTGGCAAGTCAAGTTGGGAGAAGCGCTACGTTACACTAGACGGCACATGGCTGATGGTGTACAACCAGCAGAATGATGGCAACCCTGTCGACACCCTGGAGTTGAACCCTGGGGATGCTGAAGTTAGCGTCCACAGTGCCGTCACAGCCGCAGAACTGTCCAACACCGCTTCAAGTGACCTCGCCTACGTTCTCCGGGTAGATCAAGATCCCATCACCACCTGCTGGCCGGGAAGGTGAGAAGGGAGATAACTTAAACAATCTGCTCCTTGGCCAATGTAGATATAATATCAAAGTCAAGTAATCTGATATACCTGGCCTTATCACCTACACTGCATATCTTGACCATGTTGAACATCAGTGCTTGTCACCCTCCATTAGACCAGGGGGTAATATTCATGCAGTTGATCAGTACAGCAGTTGGGTTTGCTCAAACAAAGTGCGGATCAGACATTCAGTCACTGCTTCAAAGATAAGATCCATCCTAGTATCCCCCTGACTGCTACACGGTTGTTTCTTCATCGGGCAGAGTGATGTACCTGATGGCTCTGACGTTTGCGGAGAAGCAGAAGTGGGTGGCATCGCTGGAAGCGGCTGTCAAGTGTGCCACAAAGGGCGAGGCTTTCAGGAAGAGTGTAAGGCATTTAAAACTCAACCATATTGAGAACTTCACCGGAGAAGTAAATTAATTCACATCATTGATAATTGGTCACGTATGAAACTCATACTACAGAATTATGCTCCAATCATATATGCCAGTCATGTTCTCTGACCTGGGAAAACAACATCATATGAAATAACTGTCACATCATGTTAATGAAAACAACAGCATAACACAACTGTACCATGATGATGATGATGATGATGATCTTTTGTGCAGAGAATCCAGATGAACACAGTTTTGACGTTTACTGAAAGGAAGGAGGTCAACAGCACCCTCGTTCTCTCAAAGCAGGTTTGTCTGTTTTCCAATCGTCTTTTCCTAGTTTCAGCACAAGAAGTGTTACATTCTCTATTAATGAATATGGTCGAACACGAAAAACACCTGTTCAATTCTCCACATGGGTACAAAGTGTGAAGCCCACGTCTGGTGTCTTCGGCTATGACCACACTCACTCACTATTTCTGTGCCACTGAAGCTGATTAGCTATACTTAAGTCACTCTAGACACCTGTTACTACTCTTCATAAACTGAAATAGTTGACGAATGATTTTGTATAATTGTATCTCCATGTCTTGATGATATACACTGTATTGTTGCTACGTCAGCTGGTCCTGCTCGGAGCGGAAGAGGGACTGTTTGCCATGAACCCCCAGAGTCCAGTGACCAGTGACAAGGTCCTCGTTCCCCTGACTGGCATCTCCAACATCCACCAGATGACCCTCGCCGCCGGGCTCGCTCGCATGATCATCATGATTGTAGGTCAGTACATCCGATGACTGCACAATGTGGGACAATGATTGTGTTATATTGATTGGCATCCACTTGCGTAAAGTGACTGTAGCGCTACATCAATGTAACTTGCATACTGTAACTTGACTTACAACAGCCATAGTTCTTAGAGCTATAAGTCTTAAATAAGAGCAAAAAAATGTTGAATTCCTGTTGATATCAGATGTAAATCCTGCTGTTTATGTGTTTGTTACTTATTATATGATCGGAGTTCGAAATTTAGAATGAAAGTCAAGTGGTCCTGGTGATGACCACACTATTAAAAAATATGATTCAGTTTGATCTCGGGATTCAAGAACAACATTGCTCCAAAGATCATCCTCAATAATGAAATATTAAATCATATTGTAAATTTAATTTAATTTGATCTTGATTTAAAAATTGTTTGTTTTTTTATCAGACATATGAAATTGTTATTAATTTTGTAATAATGTAAAATATTTCTAAGTTTGGTACTACATCCTGTTTTACATATGGTGTCTCAATCTGTGGTTGCCAGGTACTGATCGTCGACTGCTGATGGTGGAGAAGAAGTTGATCAAGCTGCGACTGACTCAGTGTAACGGTGGTGAGACAGCCCCCCTCCCCTACAAGCAGATCGACGGGGTGCAGGGCTGTACGGTGTTTGATGTGGGCATGTGGCAGGACAGCACCTACCTCTGTGTGGGCATGACAGACAGGGTGCTACTGATGAAGTACAACCCCAGTCTCGCCATGTTCTGTACCAGAAAGGTGAGGATGATGTCGCTGAATTTAACCATGCAAGCTATAGCACATGTTTACAGATCAGTCAAAGTTGTTCCGAAATTGGTCAGTTTTAATGATACTATATGTATATGTAAGTAGTGACGTAAGATGTCATCACTTATTTCAGAGGGAAATATACTATTGGAAACAGAATAATTGACATGATTAAAATGCAGAGTATTTTATTAGTATTGAATATTTCTAATTTTGCTAAGAGACTAGACATTCTTCCTCATGTAGGGCATTGACGTGGGTCTTACTCTTTTGATAATTAAACAGTTTTCTAAAATAAGGACAATACTTATGTGCTGTGGATATTCTTGTTGTAGGAGTTTGACTCATATGAGCCATGCAGCTGTGTGTGTATAGCTGAGAGTTATGCCCTGGTCGGTACAGAGAAGTTCTACAGAATCAGTCTGGACCACCCGTCCATGATAGGTAGGTAGATGTACTGGAGAACTGGTGCATGATTGGTGTTTTGATGTACTGGACCACCCACCCATGATAAATGTGAACATGTACTGGACCACCCACCCACCTATGATAGATGCGCACATGTACTGTACCACCCACCCATGATAGATGTGAACATGTACTGGACCACCCACCCATGATAGATGTGAACATGTACTGGACCACCCACCTACCTATGATAGATGCGCACTTTGATGTACTGGACCACCCACCCATGATAGATGTGAACATGTACTGGACCACCCACCCATGATAGATGTGAACATGTACTGGACCACCCACCCATGATAGATGTGAACATGTACTGGACCACCCACCCATGATAGATGTGAACATGTACTGGACCACCCACCCATAATAGATGTGAACATGTACTGGACCACCTACCCACCTTTAATAGATGTGAACATGTACTGAACCACCCACCCATGATAGATGTGAACATGTACTGGACCACCCACCCATTTATAGATGTGAACATGTACTGGACCACCCACCCATAATAGATGTGAACATGTACTGGACCACCCACCCATAATAGATGTGTACATGTACTGGACCACCCACCCATGATAGATGTGAACATGTTCTGGACCACCACCCATAATAGATGTGAACATGTACTGGACCACCCACCCATAATAGATGTGAACATGTACTGGACCACCCACCCATGATAGATGTGAACATGTACTGACCACCCACCCATGATAGATGTGAACATGTACTGGACCACCCACCCACCCACCCATGATAGATGTGAACATGTACTGGACCACCCACCCATAATAGATGTGAACATGTACTGGACCACCTACCCACCTTTAATAGATGTGAACATGTACTGGACCACCTACCCACCTTTAATAGATGTGAACATGTACTGGACCACCTACCTACCTTTAATAGATGTGAACATGTACTGGACCACCTACCCACCTTTAATAGATGTGAACATGTACTGGACCACCTACCCACCTTTAATAGATGTGAACATGTACTGGACCACCTACCCACCTTTAATAGATGTGAACATGTACTGGACCACCTACCCACCTTTAATAGATGTGAACATGTACTGAACCACCCACCTATGATAGATGTGAACATGTACTGGACCACCCACCCACCCATAATAGATGTGAACATGTACTGGACCACTCACCCATAATAGATGTGAACATGTACTGGACCTCCCACCCATGATAGATGTGAACATGTACTAGACCACCCGACCATGATAGATGTGAACATGTACTGGACCACCCACCCACCCATAATAGATGTGAACATGTACTGGACCACCCACCCATAATAGATGTGTACATGTACTGGACCACCCACCCATAATAGAGGTGAACATTTACTAGACCACCCACCCATATTAGAGGTGAACATGTACTTGACCTCCCACCCACCCATAATAGAGGTGAACATGTACTGAACCACCCACCCATGATAGATATGAACATTTATTACCCGAGTGGTCAACGTATGGGAGTTGCATACTAATCTCGTACGTCACACGTGTGTCGTATCGCGTTGACCTGTGTCGTAACGACTTGACCTGAGATTCTAACGATTTGATTGGATAACCGATGACCTCTCAGTTAGGTCATGTTGTGACGGAACTACTTTTTCATTCATAACAAACACGTGGATCCATTCATTCTACAACTAAATGCATTGTGGGAATGTAAACATCGCGAACGTTGCCATGTCGCTGTTTTATTGTGAGTCGAACTGAGACATTATACCCGTTGAAAACGAACGCAATGTTTCCACCAGTGATGTTAGCCGATTAAAGCAACTGCAAACCAAGAAACGGGTGCTAAGGCGTAGTTTACTGTAGGAGGCTGTACGAGGCGAAGACAACTGACATGCATCGTGGCGTGGGTTACCAAGGCAGTGACGCCATTACAGTGACGCCATGCAAATATTGTACTACAGTACAAAACTCTTCCAAGCGAACCTCTTTATGAAACCGGTTTCGGTTTGAAACCAAAATATTAACAAAACTACGCTATTTTGTCAATTTAATGCATGTAAGACGGGGTAATAAATAAAATACCACACCTTCGGTCTCATTACATTACGAATTATACGAACTGTGACCTTCCTATGTTATCTGACCACCGCTTTTCGCCGGGTCAGATACCATAGGAAGGACACTCGTTTCGTATAATTCGTATGTAATGAGACCTCGTGTAGTATTCTCTATGTACTTGACCTCCCACCCACCCATAATAGATGTGTACATGTACTGGACCACCCACCCATGATAGGTGTGTACATGTACTGGACCACCCACCCATAATAGATGTGAACATATATATGTACCCATATGTTTATTCCATAACTGAGGCAGACATTCTTCCTGTTTTTCCTTCCGTCTGTATGTTCCATGACAAGCATGCTTCAAGTCCTTGTGTTCTTCCACTCCAGACTTTGTAGACCGACAAGACAGTTCACTGGCATTTGCTGCATTCGGCGCTGCCAACCATCACAGTTACCCCCTGGCTGTCGTACAAGTCTCCCCAGCCGGACTACCTCATGAATTCCTCTTGTGTTTCCATGGTAACATCATATTTACACTGAGTTTGTTTCATATATTTTTTATGGTAAATACACATTATAAACCTGTAGTAACAATTATAAAGTCATTAAATATAATGTTCTACAATGTGCCTTGTGTTTCCAGAGTTTGGTGTTTTTGTGGATGGCAAGGGCAGAAGGAGCCGACCACTGGATGTGAAATGGAGTGGACTTCCTCTTACATTTGGTATGTCACTCTAATTATCAATTATTAAGTTTATTTACATAATTTGATGCACACAAAAAGGCAAACAGATACATAAGAAAAAGATCTTTATGATGTAAAAAAAATTCTAACTTTCAGTTGAACAGTTTATGAATACTAGTAAATCAAAATGCACGAGTTTGTACATACAAACTGACTTTGATTGACAAGTTGTTTTGTTTCCAGTGTACCGAGAGCCGTTCCTCTACATCACATACTTCAACTGTATCCAGGCAACTGTTGTCCCTGCCAGCAAACAGGAAGTCAAGTGAGTTATGTTTTTTCACACGACATTAGCTGGACCACCCACTCCTGCTCTATTTCTTCGCATGTACATGTATAATGAAGGATGGCATATTTTCCTCAAGGAAGGTCACAACACATTGAAACAATGAGAAAACTAGCGTACAATTGTCTCCCCTTACTAGTGAACATGTTATCACTATTCATCTGGTGACATTAATAGACTGGAGCATATAACATTTCATGAGTTAGCTGATTACCCACATGCGGACCACCTAGGTGGTCCAGGCTATCTTGCATCTGCCCAGAGAGAAGAAACTCAGGGCTTCAGCCTTTGGTCATGTCATTCTAAGAGATGTTAAAAGTTTATTTGGGGTGGTGGGGTAGCCTAATGGTTAAAGCGTTGGCTCGTCACGCCAAAGACCCGGGTTCGAATCCCCACATGGGTACAATGTGTGAAGCCCATTTCCAGTGTCCCCCGCCGTGATGTTGCTGGAATATTGCTAAAAGTGGCGTAAAACCAAACTCAGTCAGTCAGTAAAAGTTTATTTGAAAAAGTTGACCATTTAAATAAAATATCTGGTGAATACTAGAAAGAACTCGCTCCATGGTCCAACAAGTGGAAGGATGATGGTTCGATTCCTTTGCAAAGTCATACCAACAGATGGTACCTTATGGAACACGTTTTTATGGATAACAACTTCTTCATTTCGTGAGTGCGACGTTTCGATACAGATTCTTGTACCGTTGTCAAGCAAGAGTGATGACTTGCTTCTAAAAATGCCACTCAAACAAGATGGTACCTTGTGTTACCTGACCTAATGTATCTGAGTGGGCAATATGTTTTAAACATTGGCTTGGTATCTTGGTGGGCTAGCATTATATACCTTGCATTAATCCAGACACGTCTGCAAGCCCATTAACCCATGTTGTAATGTAAAGTGATCTCAACTGTGACATAAAATCTCATTTCACTTGCGACTGACTACCTGTATTTTATATCTCCCTGACAGAGGCCGTAAGACCATCATTGACCTTCAGTCTCCTCGTTACTTGGGGCCGGCAGTGATGGCAGGATCGGTGTACATCATGGCCTGCCACAACAACGCCATCGAGCTGATGTGTCTACGTGGCCTGGAGGAGCATGACATCACAGATGACAAGGAGAACAGGAGAGTAGACAGGTAGGCTGTCATCTGTGTGGTGTCCTTAACGATCTATAAGCTGCAAACAAGTATGGGAAGACCTTACTTTTGGATGGTACCTTCAGAGCCTTTAACTTCAACATTTAATTTTCGTATTGTATTTTGACACTTAACAAAATTCCCTCTTATCTTAAATGTTTGCCCTATTTTCTACATAATTCAGGTAAGCTTAAGAGCATTGTTGGGTGTTCTGACCATCCAACCTCGTTTAAATGCATGTGTCATAAATATACTGCTCTGAAGAAGTTATGGGCCACAAAAGGCATTAATATTACATATAAGTGTACTTTAGTTAACCTATCCAGGCAGTACAAGTATAAAATATTTTGTTTTTCTGATGAAGTCCAAATTGATATTTCTGAACTCTTACCAGTCCTTAGTTTTGAACTTTAATTAGATATCTGTACGCACTTTTATTGTGATTTCAGTTTACGGTATTCTGACAAGATGCAAGTGAGGTTTGTGAGTCCCCAGAAGGAGTCGAGAAGACGACTCTCGCTTACATCAATTGACAGCAATACAACAGAATCCAGCAGCAGTTAGTTCCCCTGAAAACACAACCAGCATAATTCCAAGATCCAGATTTGTGGAGTTTATCAGAACTGTGCAATGTATTCCTGAATCTCGTCAGGTAGCATTACATGGAGCTACACCGTCATTCAGTGACAATGTATGCTGCCGTAACATTTCCGTTCATGTCTGTTGAACATGGAAGCAGACTTCATGTCATTGAATGAGGGTATTTACTATATCATCTCCAGTAATAGTGCTTAGACATACACATGGATATTGGTTTAAAATCATGTAGCTGGCATGAGAATGGGGTTGATGTATTTTAGATAACACTGAGAGTTAGATGGGGATCAGGGGACTACAGTATATCATTATGTGTATGTTGTAATGACAATGATCACAAAAGTGACGTGTCAAGATGCAAGGGAACTCATCATCACTGAAATAATCTGTTAGGAACTAAATCATGTCACTGTTCACTAGATCTTCTAATTCAACACAGTGAGATTACCATTGAATGGCATGAATATGCCCCAAGGAAAAGCTTCTGATATATCTAATGCAGAAAATACTGTTTGTGTAGACGCAGGAATGTCAATATGTAATGTTAATATCCATTGTGTTTATCAAGTGACGTGAGTGAGTGAGAGAACTGACAAGTTGAGTTTACAATGAAACCTAGTTCCAGAACTTTGTCCAAGCTTGACATGTTTTCAGAGGTGCCACAACTGATAATGAAAATAATTGGAAATATTTTTCAACACATATTCATGGTGTTAATTGTATCTAAAGATGCTACTGGAACTGTATCATGTAAGAGACATCAACTTACTAGTGAGGACTATCAGAGTTGGAGGTACTCTTAGAATAATGACTGGATTGTGCAATATCGGTCACCTCTGGTTGTGGTTTTGAAGTAACCTGCATTGCACATAGTTACAGGGTTGTAATTTTTGTAACAGGCTTAAATATTACATGAGTTGTATGAAAGGTTTAGAATGTGTATAAGATCTGTGCAGGTTGTTTCAGAAGAAAGCAACCTGAAAATACCAAGATTGAGTTTTGACAACTCTGTTGTGTTCATGGTGTAAAATGTCATTTATCCTTTATCATCCTGATCTCTTGCTGTCCTCTGAAACATATTTGTTGATATTTATCATGTACATGCTTGCTGTATCAATACTACTGTGAATATGAATCCCATTAAAACATATGACAATACAACAGATAGTTGTTTTGAAATCTTCAAATGAACATACACCCATGTGAAGGTTCAATTTAGAATTGGATCTTCAGCAACCCATGCTTGACGTAAGCGACAACTAACAAGATCGAGTGGTCAGACTTGCAGATTTTGTTGACACGCTACATCGTATCCCAATTGTGTACCGTAGATTGATGCTCATGCTGTTGATCACTGGATTGACTTCGATTATTTAGGAACAGTCGCCATATAGCTGGAATATTGTCGAGTGCAGCGTTTAACAACAAATGGACAAAAAAAACCCGATGTAGTCGGTTGGTGGGGTAATCTTGGAGACAAGGGTACTTTTGTTCAGCTACAGTGAGTTTAGTTTTACTCCGCTTTTAGCAATATTCCAGCAATATCACGACGGGGATCACCAGAAATGGACTTCGCACATTGTACCCAAGTGGGGAATCAAACCCGGGTCTTCGGTGTGACGAGCGCTTTAGGCGTGACGAACGCTTTAACCACTTGGCTACCCCAGTGAGAAATGTATCCAGGTATGAGGCAGTTTCCAACAGGCAAACTGGTGACAGATGAAGTTTGTTGGCCGTCAGTGAAATAGCAACCTGGGTTGTGAACAACCATCCATATTGACCTGCTGACCAACAATGTTTCCCTCGAGTTGTTGGAATTTATCATTCTTGAATGAGGTTGAGGACAGAACTTAATGCAGTCTTGGTGGACATTTTCCTTTATTCATAAAATATACACACTAACAATTCTGAGGTAATTTAACGGTCTATATAAAAGTGTCTGGAAGTCATGAGATGCATACATTGGAAAAACGCACACATGACAATTAGTTTTCCTTCTGAATATATTTCTGTGATGTAGCTAATGATAGCACAAATTCATTATCTGAAACAATGATTCTTAATCTGGTCACGTCTTTGCAGCTGAATGCACCAAGAGCTCATGTAACATTTGTTTTCCACTCACAATGAAACAGTTATTAGTTCACACCTACATGAAAATATGTTGTCTAAGAAACACCAACATGTTACTGGAAAAGTGAACCATGATATCATGCAACTCTACATTACAATTTACATTAACAATCTACATTAAATCCTATTTACTTCAGATACATCCAGTGTGTAACCAAGACATGACATATTGTACAAAAAGGTGCCTGAAACGTTGGACAGTTCAGATAGAATTGCTGATTATCCCTCAACACTTCCCCATGCTGAAGTGCCTCTTTTTGGGGGTTTAACGCCACGCTCAGCAATATTGCAGCTATATGGCGTCATTCTGTAAATAATAGTCTGGACCAGATAATCCAGTGATCAACGTCACTAGCATCTATGCGGTGGGGATATGATGATGTGTCAACCAAGGCAGCGAGCCTGACCATCCGATCCCGTCAGTCGCCTCTTACGACAAGCATTGGTTACTGAAGACCAATTCTCACCCGGACCTTCAAAGGTTTTTTTATGTTTTCAACTCATGAGATAAGCCTTCTGTATTGGCTCTGTGAGTGATGAATTGTTGATCATGCATGGTCCTGTCATTTAATGATCACATGCCAAAGTGGTAGCCGTTGAAGCCGTTCGATGTAGCACTTTCTTTCGGATACAGTACACCCTGGTTATAATGCCCCTGGTTATGATGCCACCCTGGATATAATGCCATGTTTTTGCCAGTATGGATTTCCTGCCTATATAATACCCTGGGTATAATGCCAAACTGGATATAATGCCATTTACCAATATTTTGGGAACAAAAGTCTGGTTAAAATGCCAATTACACTAGCTGCATGTAGTAAATACCTTAATTGGTTCATTGACATGACTCAAATTAATTGACCAAACTCATTAATGCTTTAAGTAGTCATGCAATCCCAGATAGGATAACACATGTGACAATACACTTCCTGGCACCTACAAGAAGTCACCTGCAGCCCCTAGATGCTGGAATTATCCAGTCATTCAAGGTTCCTTACAGGAGACATCAGCTCAATCACCTTGTTGATTACATAGGGCCTCTAACTGTCCTACCTATAATGCCACCCTGTATATAATGCCATATTTTCTCCTGGACAAACAGTGGCATTATAACCAGGGTATATTGTACTTGGTGAAAGCCAATATTGGCCACTCACACAATTACATACACATAAATCCACAAAATGTCAACACAAATTTCCCAACAAACATGTTTCCTTTTATGTGGATTTTATATATTATAAATGCTTGCCAAACTGTTTCAGCCACCCCTTGAAAGAATTGGAGGTCTGCAGTGACTCAGATCTTTCAAGTTGTTGGTCTGACTAAAGACACTAGAAACATCTTTCTACAATGACACAAAAACTGATTAAGACAACCATTCTTCTGTTCATATTACATACATGTATTGTATACACACACTATATACATACACACTTGATGGATGGACATGATGCAAATGAACACTGGAACTAGACCCAGGGCCCCGTTTCACGAAGCTCTCGCAAGCCTAAGATCTCGTAACTTTCCTCGCAGCATTCGCACCTCCTATACTGTAACATTTAAGGTAAGAATGCTACGAGAAAGGTTACGAGATCTTAGGCTTGCGAGAGCTTTGTGAAACGGGGTCCAGGGTTATCCAACTTGATCATTTGTCGGTAATACCGACGGTGGAAGTAGTCTTGTAGTCTGGCATAGGGTTCCTGTTATGAGTTGTACTACATCACTTCTAGCAACCTTCCAGCAATATCGCAACCAAGGATGCAAAAAAAGAGAAAGGGCTTCAAGCACGGCATCTATGTGGGGATTCGAACTCATTTCTTTGGACTGATAAGCAAATACCTTGACAAGAAGGCTACTACACACAGCCTCGTGAAAATAACATAGTGGCAGCCCAGGAACAATAACCTAACTTTGTGTATTGTGCAAGTAAATTAAAACTTGATTCTATCACAAAAGTCATGTATGATATTATTGATGACAGTTTTCATATCGTTTGTTTAATGCCGCACTCAGCAATATTCCAGCTATATGGCAGCAGTCTGTACTTAATCGAGTCTGGACCAGACAATCCAGGGATCAACATTGATCTACCCAACTGGGAAATGATGACATGTGTCAACCAAGTCAGCGAATCTGACCACACGATCCCGTTAGTCGCCTCTTACGACAAACATGGGTTGCTGAAGATCCATCAGTGTGAACATTGCCAGAAATTTCCAAGTACTGTCTTTCTGAAATCATACATATTGGTACATGTGCCCTCTTCTCAAAATCCTAATCTCCGTGTTTACTGACAAATCTAAAACTGCTTGTTGGACACCCAAACCAGAGACTAATGCAAAAGATGATCTCATGAAAAAAGCCACCAGGAGGCCAAACTGCCAGCACCACTTCTGGGCTTCATTGTATTGAAGCCATTTGAAACTTATCAGACATCAGAAGCACTGTTCGACATATTTATAATGGAAACATTCTGAAGAACTGACATCAGCCCTGCAATTATTGAGTGAGTGTGGCTTTACGAAAAGCTTTTGCAATATTCCAGCAATATCATGGCGGGTGACAAAGAAATGGGCTTCACACATTGTACCCATGTGGGAAATCGAACTTGGGTCTTCGGCATGATGAGCAAACGCTTTAACCACAAGGCTACCCCACCGCCCCGCCAGTGTGTAGGAACTGTGATGATCCTTCGATGTCATGTATACTCGTTGGCTCCTAAATGTGTTTCGCACATAAACAGCATGATTCCCAGATGGGTGTCAACTTGATGTCATGTTTTAGACAACGTTAATGGCATCAAGAAGCAAGACTAACCAAAGAGAATCAGATGAAACAGGCTGGATCCTGCTTCAATGCCTCACACTTTACAGTCATGTATAGTGGGACCCCACTTATCCAGCCCCTGGATACCCTGAAAACTCGGCTATGGGACAATATTTACATGTAGTGAGCGACTCTGGTTTAACGCCACCTTTAGCAATATTCCAGCAGTATCAGACAGGAGATTACATGTTTGTTCACCTAAATTCGATGAAGGGATACACTCTCTATTTTGACTTCAAAATATACTCAAATAATCTTACTCATAAAATAGAGGTGTGGTTTGTTTTGCCTCTGGAGAATATGGGTAAGGAAGTTAACTGGCTACATTCTGATAATTCATCAGGATAATTGTTTATTCAGACAAAAATGTGAGAAAACGGAAGAGTCTGGATAAGCAAGATTTCTCTGCATAGGCACAACTCCTCTGACGAGTCTCAATTTCCTGTGGCATCAATTGAGCCAATGGCACAGAATATTCAAAGTGCAGGTCTGCTGAAATACACTAGAAACGAACCTGTTTCTACAATGACACATACATGATACTGTTCTCGTGTTTATACATACACCTACTATATAGATACACTATATACATTATACACTTGATGGATGGACATGATCACGATGGAGATGACTAAACTCTTCCAGGAGCACTTCTGTTCTCAGTTCTATGACAGGCGAATTTTGAATGTCATTTTAACTGACTGACTGACTGAGTTTGGTTTTACGCCGCTTTTAGCAATATTCCAGCAACATCACGGCGGGGTACACCAGAAATGGGCTTCACACATTGTACCCATGTGGGGACTCGAACCTGGGTCTTCGGCGTGACGAGCCAACGCTTTAACCACTAGGCTACCCTACCGCCCCGAATGTCATTTTACAAAAATATAAGATAACGTGAGCTGTCCTTTTCACCCAAGTTTTGTTGGACATATTAATAACTAACAGTACTGACTTCAGCCCAGGTCATGTTGAGCCCTTGTTAGAACTGAGGTCAAACGTAGATGTAATATACATGCTGGCTCTGAAGAGGCATAAGTCTCAGACACAGATCGGTATAGTGGTCTGTAGGAGCACCCTGACAAGTCTCACACATTAATTGCATCCATCAGCAAGACTCCAAGGGCCTGCATACTTCAGCAGCCTGCATCAGCTTCTTGACAACATTCACGCTTTAGAGCATCACGAAGCATGACCTGCCAAAGAGAATTATATGAAATCTATGGGCTGGCTTCTGAATGAATGTCTTATATTTCGATGGCTTGCACAGGTGCGACTCTGCTGATGACTCTCGCACCTCGATGGCATGTGCAGGCACAACTACTCCGACTAGTCTCACACTATGATGGCACAGCTTCCGTCAAGACTCATCTCAATGATGTGCTGGCACAACTCCTCTAACAAATTTCACACTTCGATGGCATGTGCAGGCACAACTCTCTTGTCAGGTCTCACACCTCAGTGATGAACTGGTACAACTCCTCTCAAGTTTCACACTTCGATGGCATCTATTGTGTCCATGTCCTCCATCTCCAACGTCTCTGGAGTCATGGACGGTGAAATGTCTTCTCCATCAAACATGAACTTCAAATAGGACAGTTCTGTTTTCACTTTGGATGCATAAGTACTCATCAGCTTGCGCAATGCCTGGTGCTGAAACACAGATTGATCAGAAGTAGCAAGACAGTTTCTTAAACAGAGGCTACAAAAGCTGACATATCACCCAGTTTGTTTGAGGGTACAGTTACAATTGGTCTTCTGCATTTTATCCCATCTAATTACCTCTTTTGTTTATTTGTTTGTTTATTGCTGCACAGAGTAATATTCCAGCTGTATGGCAGCGGTCTGTAAACAATTGAGTCTTGACCAGATAATCCAGTGATCAACAGCATGAGCATCGATCTACACAACGGGGGCATGATCACATGTGTCGACCATGTCAGCGAGCCTGACCACCTGATCCTGTCACTTGCCTTTAACGACAAGTACGGGTTGCTGAAGACCAATTTTACCTGAATCTTCATGGGTATATTACACAAGTTTATGTGGTATATAAATGTGAATGAGCACTCAGCATATCGTACACACTGAGGATGAACACATTTAAAAGATTTACTTTGCAATTCCTCCGTGCAATGAGGTCACTCATCTACTGGATGCACAGTCTCCTTTACCAAGAATACAAAATTCACATGAGTTTGCCAGTCTGGGACTACTCAACTGACCCAGGCTCTTTTACAAGACTTTAAAAAGTTCAAACTGAGTCTGGGACTACCAAACTGGCCACCGGTCAAACTCCAACAGTGATTCTTATGGGACTCATTGACCAGAAGCATTTTGAGGGCTATATAATTTAGAACCAGTTCTCAAATATTTACTTTTGTTACAAATTGGAACTGAATAAAACTGACAGAAAACAACCATCTTTGTCTTGATCAAACAGGACAAGCTAAAATCTGAGACCCCGTGAAATTAGGTTCATCCTTGGTGTCCCAACTGGTCTTTGTACTATTTGGCATTGCAAGGCTGCTTTTCAAAGCACATTTACACATTATCCCACGGCCATGGAGTTAAAGATTACGATTTGTCATTTAGACTGGTGTGCCTGCTCTAGAGCCCTTGCGCTCCTCACCACACTACAAGGACAGGTCAGGACTGCCATTTTGGGGAGGAATTACTCCCAGTTCCAAACCAGTTTCAAATTCAGAATACCCACTGTCACTGTCCGCCAGGAAAATACCCTGTAGGCTATAATTTCCTCCTATTTTTCTACCAGTGATGCCTGTCCAGCGGGCCTGTCCAGCGGGCCAGACCAGGGGAGGCTACTCTCTCGATGTCTGTGTACCTACCTTGTTGATCTTGATGAGGATCTTGTTCTTCCTGTTGCTGCACTGGACGTAGAGGGAGATGGCGTCCCTGGTCCGAATGTCTTCCTCCAACATGTCCAACACTCCAGGGCTGTACAAGTGGCAGTCTGAAGCAGGACCATGATCTCAGTTAGTCCAATATATACACTATCATTGGTAAGATTTGGATTGTTGTTATACACCGCACTCAGCAATATTCCAGCTATACTGCAGCGGTCTGTAAATAATCTTATCTCTGCCAGACAATTTAGTGATCAACATCACGAGCATCAATCTATGCAGATGGGATATGTAAACGACCTTGACCACCTGAACCCGTTAATCGCCTCTTACAACAAGCATGGGTTGGAGAAGACCAATAGGTAAGACCTCAGCATAGCCATTTTCTCAATCAGTGCGAGAATCATGGACAGCCATTTTGTCTACCACTAAAACAGCCATATATTCAACTTTGTTTGTGCAGTGGTCAACATGTAGTTGCAAAGTTTCACAGTTATCAAGTCACCATTTTCTGATCTCAAACCTAAAAGACCACACAGACTTTCAAAGTCATAATTTTCTCCAGCCAGCAGAAGACTTTCCATTTTGCTAAGTTCAACCCTTAATCAATCAAAGTTTGTCAGCAACAACAGTTATGGTCCACCTGTTACACGTGTGAATCACCTACCGATGATATCGGCGATGTGCAGGCCGATGCTGATGGGGGGTTTCTGTGGGCAGGATGTTCCTGTCGGCCAGCATGAAGAACAGATGATCCTCCTCTACATCAATGTCCCCTGCCAGCCTCGTCTTGATGCTTTGGAATGTGTCTGCCTAAAATAGACAAGTACACCAAAAGTTTTACAAAGCCTGTATTCATGCAACCAGTTGCACTTGAAAATACCATACCTCTGTTACAACATTGTATCACTGCTATCACACATAAACACTTTCAGATTTCCAACAGAAGTCTTAACAAGTTGTGTGGATAATACTTTTCCTTGACTTTCTTCTATGTATGCACTCTCCAGGAAAACCCCACTTCTTTCCTGCATGTGATGGAGTCAACATCTTGCAAACCAGATTATTTGCAGATAGAACCGCAAAAGTCAGGTCAAGAAACAAAGTTAAATGTGACAGATAGAAATCTGCATCATACTTCCCTTAAAACTTTGTTTTGGCAGGGGAAAACAAAAAACTCACGTTCAATAGAAGACTACTAGAGAAAAATATGAAGAATGGCTCCACTCTGGATTTGTCTGGATTAAGTCAGTACTTTACCTTCCTCATGCTGTACTTGTAGATCTTGGACTTGTAGCGGATCTTGGCCGTCATGCTCGTGGTCTCGGGGGCAGGGCTGCTGAGGTGGCTGATAATCACCAGGTCCTCGTCCTCGGACGATGAGTGCACTCGTATTGTGTCCTTCATACCTTCCAATGTCCTGAACAGAAGCAAGCAGTGACTTAACAACAACATATCTCATAAACTGCCTATTCCACACATGGTATATGCTCGAAGCCCTACAATTGATTGAAGACGACATAAAATACAATGTCAATGCAGGTGATCAATGTTTGTTGTTTCGAGACACAGTATTATTCAAGTTATATGATAGCAGTATGTTAAGAATCAAGTCTGGATCAGGCAATCATGAGCATTGATCTATCCAACTGGGATTCAACGACATGCACCATGTCCATGAAGGTGACCAATGTGTGTTGTTTCGAGGCACTCAGTAATATTCCAGTAGTACCCAAAGAATCAAGTCTGGATCAGACAATCCAGTGATTTACATCATGAGCATTGATCTACACATTTGGGATTCACGCGCCAAGTCAATGAGTCTGACCCATTAGTTGTCTCTTACAACAAGCATGGCTTGCTACCCAACAACACTGATTTCAGTTTGGCTCTGAAATTTTAAAGTAAAGAGCTACCATGTTTGTACCTCAACTTTAGAGGGTTCAATGTCTCATTATTACACTTGTATACAAGTATGTGGTAGCAAGCGTGTGTGCTTGTCCAAGCTTACTGGAGAGCCTTCTTCATGTTCCTGTTCATCCTGCGAGTCCTGGTGGGTTTCTGTGTCACTGTAGAGTCGGGGGTGGGAGGTGGTGTTGGCGAACGGGATCGCACGAATGAAGACTCTGGTGTTGTGACATGAGAGCTGATAAAAAAAAAATGTAAACGTTAATGCAACAATGTTATGTGGGTAAACATGATAAGCTACTCATTAACAGGGCTATACCCTGACTCACAGACATTCAGGTCCCAGGAACCCCAATTATTTGTTTTAAGGGTCCTTGCAGGCAATACAAGGGCTGTAGGCCCTGTAACATCCAGTGATCAACAGCATGAGCATCGATCTACACAAATGGGATACGATGACATGGGTCAACGAAGTCAGTGAGCCTAACCACCTGATCCCCTGTCACCTCTTACAACAAGCATGGGTTGCAGAAGAATTCTAACCCTGATCTTCACTGGTCACTACTATTGTTATAAACCTTCAATTGGAGAAGGTGTCAGTACTCACCACTCCAAGTCATCCTTGCTCTCATCAAGTGTCACTATCGGCACTCTGTTGTTGGCTTTTACATCTGGCTGTAGGGGGTCAACTAGCAACAGAAAAACACCATCTACCATTGTGATATTTATAGACAGTAAGTAAAGCAGTTACAATAAGTAGCTAATTGCAACCCTGATGTAAAAAAACCAAAAGATTTAGGGGTCCTCGATTTTGAACGTGGTCTGAATGTCAATTTTTTTGTGCATACTTTGGGGGAAAAATTTTGTTTGTTGTTTAACGCCGCACTCAACCATATTACTGCTATATGGCAGCAGTCTGTAAATAATCGAGTCTGGACCAGACAATCCAGTGATCAACATCATGAGCATCAATCTACGCAATTGGGATGTGATGACAAGTGTCAACCAAATCAGCCAGTCTGACCACCCGATCCCGTTAGTTGCCTCTTACGACAAGCATGGGTTGCTGAAGATCAATTCTAACCCGAATCTTCACGGGTATTGGGGCAAGGAAAAGGTCTGTATGTTCAGACTAGACTACCTCGCCGCCTTCAACCAAACACTGACTATGCTGACAAACAGCAAAACAAAGAAAAGCAAGCTTTGATAAGTTCAATAAACACTGTAAATAAAGTAAATTGCAATCATTGCAATCATCAGTGGGATCAGTAACCACAGAAACCATGGCACTGGCCTTACAATGAATTCATGTCTGGTATTGCCACATAAAATCAGCCACACCTATTTCCTCTTCATCTTTGTCGATGCACAGTTGAATCCTGCCCGACTTCAAGTCCTCCAAACACTTTGTGACTCTAGTAGAGTACACAGATACTTGTTTCTTGGGAAACGGTACAGGCACAGCTGTTGGGTTGGCGGCTAATGTGCTACGGACGGACCTTGTTGACCGGGTTTTGCGGATCTTCGGAGGAGAATCAGCATCTGAGCTGTCACTGTCTGACCCGGAGATAACATTCTGTAATGAAAACAACTCCAAGTGAACAGCTGGAAAACAATGTTACCATGGTAACAGCACCACACTAATCTGGATCATGAATGACTTCATAGCATTGTAAATTTCAAACATCTTACACTAAACATGAGAAAATGATGATTTTGTTTTTTCGTTTGTTGTTTAACGCCGCACTTAGCAATATCTTAGCTATATCAGTATATGGCTGTAGTCTGCAAATAATTAAGTTTGGACCACACAATTTAGTGATCAACCATGTCAACAGCAATAGCATCAATCTAATAATGATCTATCACAGCTGCTAATCATATATGGCATTGTTATTTTCTTTCAGAACCAAATATAATCGGGACTGAGTGACTAGCAAATGCTAACATCATAGAAGCAGATTTGATAGTGGTAACAATGTTTACATGCAACTTTTGCTTATGGCTGGTGCAAAAGTTAAGGCATTTCTTTTGAGTGAGAGTGAGTTTAGCTTTACGCCGCACTCAGCAATATTCCAGCTATATGGCAGCGGGCTGTAAATAATCGAGTCTGGACCAGACAATCCAGTGGTCAACAGCATGAGCATCGACCTGCACAATTGGGAACCGATGACGTGTCAACCATTCAGCGAGTCTGACCACCCGATTGCGTTAGTCGCCTCTTACGACAAGCGCAGTCGCCTTTTGTGGCAAGCATGGATTGCTGAAGGCCTATTTGACCCCAGATCTTCACGGGTCTTTTTTGAGTACTACTGGTGCATACTTGTACATGTACATGTTCATATGTTTATGTCCATAACTGCCCTTTAGAAATCTAGGGAACTTACACATTTGAACTTTCACAAAAGTCAGCCGTCAAGAGCAAGACATGTTAGTTGTGACCATGACCTTCAATATCAACCCAACATATGAGTTGATTCAGTGTTTATAAACACTCCTCCAAAGTCAGTCAGCTTGAAGATATGTGAATTGCTTCTCAAATTGATTGTTTAACAAAAAGTAGGGGAACCTCAACTTTCAATTTGGATAGGAAGTATAAGCGTTAACAAATTTTCAAAGACAGACGTCTTATGAACGCACCAACATTTCTCTTTATAACCACCCGGTCCCCTAAATGCAATGCATGGGATGCACGTGCACAATGCAGTAGCCCCATACACAAGCATGGGGTGTCATTCTGTGACCGTGTTTAAATACCTTGGAGTCAACTTTGTATGCAGACTCTTTCAGTGTTGTCACAACCCCTAGTGTACAACCCACGAATCCGTTGGTAAATGACCAGATTGTGGTCACATGAATACCTGCAAACACCTAGTTGCGGATACTGCAGCGTGCAGTAAACTTGGACAAAGTACTGTGACTATGTGCCCCAGTCCACCCAGCTGTGAATGGGTACCTCGTAAGGATGGGAAAGCCGCAATAACTCGGAGCGCCTTGTGGCAGCAAGAGTTGTATGCTCCCTAGGGAGTTGAGATTGATAATAAGATGAGCCGTTGAGATTGACATCCAATGATCGAGGGAAAAAATACCAGCGTCTTGGGCATAAACTAGTGCGTGGATATGTGCGTTTATAAATATCCTATAATAATAATAATTCTTGATTTTGACGATTTTCAAGAAGGTCAATAAATCACTTTAGACCATGAACTTTGACAATCATCTTGCATCACACAGTTGTTGTTTGAAAATGAAAATCGTACGCATCTAAATTTCACGTCATACACCAATCATCTTTCAAGAGCGATTATTGGACAAGTGACAACTTTATCTGCATTTGAGGCCTCATGGCCCATAGTGCCAAGATACAAAAATCATACAGTGCACAAGATATATTGAAGTACATTGCAGGACTACTTCTAAATTTCTTTTGAGGAAGTGATATCTTCTTCATAAGAACAGAATTGTTGTTCACATTAATGAGACAAATTTATCTTGGGATGGATTATTATGATAATAACAATTTTATATACTGTACAAACAACTATGGTCATAAGGAAGGGCAAGTGGTGATGCACTCTCAAAACATTCCTTATTATCAAATCAACAATGACTGACTCTGTTATATCTTTTCAATCGTAAATTAACAATGAAGTTCCCAAACCTTTTTTAAGAGTATATTACAAAATTGTTATAAAGTTTATTTTACTGTAAAATTTAGTATCCAAGGATGACATTCATTTTTTTCACTGGAAAAGAGATCAGTCACTATAAACACACGAGCTTACAATAACTGTTCCTCAGTTTTTGATGTCGTTTGTTGTTTAACATTGCACTTAGCAATATTCTTGTTATGACAGTTGTCTTCAAACAATAAAGTCTGGACAAGACAATCCAGTGATTGACATCATGAGCATCAATCTATGCAACTGGGATTTTAAAGTTATTTCCATCCCTGATCAATCTATTCAATTGGGATACAATGACAAGCATCAAGTCAGTGAGCCTTACCCCATAAGTTGCCTCTTACAACCAGCATGGCTTGCTAAAGAGCAATTTAAAAAAAAGTTACAGCTCGATCTTCTTCCTAAGCATGAGAGCATGGACAACATATTATCTTTGAATATGTCTTTCAGGAGGCTATTCTGTACTAAAATGACCTTTTAACAACTGACCAAATCAGTAATGATGATATAACGTCTGATCTCCATCTTGATAACTGCAACTTGCTGTGATTCTGCTTATGGGTCACTGCTCATTATCTATGCACAATCATTTTTAGAAACAATCATATGTCTTATTATTGCTTAGAACTGAATTTCTCAGAGATTACTTATAACATTCACAAAGTAATAGAAATTTTGAAAGCTATTCAGAAAGTATGAATGTTGTGAAATTATACTGACACACTATTACTTTTCATCATGAATTCGGAGTGACAACGTATTGTTCTGATAGAGGCATCATGGTTGTACAGCAGTAGCTATCAAACCTGTGTCAACACAACTGAAAGTATGCAGTGTCAAGCTTCTGCTTTGATGCAAACCTTTTGCTACAACAATCAACATGACACATCACTTTCGATGTCTTTTAAAAAAGTTACAGATGATATGATAAGTACTATACTCTTTACTATTGACACTCTTACGACACAGACTCTCACAAAAGTTCTAAAATCTGGGTACACTTGTACACAGTCTAATTTCAAAACCCCAAACCATACTGCTTTGTTCTCTGGGTCATTTCGATGGTAAACATATCGAAAGTGACCTAATTAATTTGAATATTCAGCCACAGTGAAACCAGACAACAAGCTCGACATGTCTGCTTGTTTTAGCTTCTGAAATCTTAAGAGGTGATTGACATTTCAACATATATCACAACGGAGACACTAGAGGGCAATTTAAAGCCTTTACTTTTTGCTGTCGGTCCAAATCATCAACTGTATCGAAGTTATGGAGACATGCCATTCGTATTTCCAATGGCTCAGAATACTTTCAGCATTCACGACAGATCTATAAATTGTCTGCGTGATTCAGTTCAGACACAATAGAATCTTGGAGGCCTGAATGGTATATTCCATTTAAAATACGAAAATGTCAAACAATGTTCATACAAACTTTGGTATATAGACTACTGACCATATCTCTGCTTTCCAGAGGTAACCTGTCTCCCATATTGTTTCTTTCAAAATGACGATTAGCGCCAGTTTCTCAAAAAGTGTAACTGGAGGTTCCCTGGATACGGATTAAGAATCATCCCCCAAAGCCAAGACGTTACATAATATTTTCGGTTACACAAATGGTCAGACACGTTTTCCCTACGTGTAATAAAACATTTCCGCGTTGTACAAAAACAACGTTTGAAAGGGAATGGACAAATCGAAATTATGATTATTTGTGATCTACAAACCAATAATTATCAGTTATTGTCAGTTTTCTATTGAGCATTCTTGTCAGAAGGAAATAGTGTACACTACGATGTACGCTGTTATTTTTCAAATGTACAAAGACTGTGATAATGATCATGATCCGACTATAAGATTCTTTCTTATGACTGTGCATTGCTACATTTTAACAATTATCAAATGCTAATAAACAACAATTGATTATAAGATGCAGGTTTGAAGATTACAAGCCACAACGAAAGGGTCTTCTTTTGAAGAAGACAGTCTCACGCGGCGAGTTTGCACGTAAGTCAGTGGAGGCTCGTGCTGACCGAAAAGCTCGTGCAGTTTCACGTGCATATGTAAAATTTGCAAGAGCGCGCTGATTGGCTGGAGATTTACTGAGGGCTTTGGGATTGCGATATATCCGATGTACACACAGTCAAACGTGGTCTTGCTGCGAATGGTGAGTTATAGCAATGGTGTTTGGCAAGCATATGCATGCATTCATTTTATGCCATTACTGTTTTAGGAAGGCGGGGTATATATTGTCTATAGTTGTATGGTGTAGTGTTTTAATTATGGCAAACAGACTCTGTTCAAGTGCGTTTATACATAGTGCGAAAAAAACATCGATCTTGTAACCCATGACTGTCCTTTCAGGCATGTGAAAATATTATGTTGGGTGCATGGCAAGCCTTATTTTCCATCTAGTATGCTTTGATATATGCTACTCGACTTGTATAGGATATTTGTATTATCTGTTCAACGATACGCAAAAGTGGGTCTCCCATCTCAGTCGTATGTTAAACAGAAAAAAAAATGTCATGGCTTGACAGACTGAGTGCATTCAGCATTTATTAAGGCCTATTGCCCCATCGTACACATGCATTTATCACAGTGGATATAGAATGTCATTTTTAGAAAAAGCTAGGGCCGTTGTAACCTTAGTATTGAGTGTTGACACGTTGTCATTATATAACTGCTTGCATAACTGCTTGCTGACATGCCTATCTTTTAGATATTTACTTCATAAGCCGCTGAAGACTCGGTTCGAGTCCCCACATGGGTACAACGCGTGAATCCCATTTCCGGTGTCACCAGCCGTGATATTGCTGGAATATTGCTAAAAGCGGTGTAAAACCAAACTCACTCACTTCGTAAGCCATTATACCACTCACAGACTAACAGTTTGTAGCTTGTCATTGGGTTGTCACAACTTGCGATATTTGACAGAAATCTGACCCTACTTCAGATTAAGGGGCGGTGGGGTAGCCTAATGGTTAAAGCGGTCGCTCGTCACGCTGAAGACCCGGGTTCGATTCCCCACATGGGTACAATGAGTGAAGCCCATTTCTGGTGTCCCCCGCCGTGATATTGCTGGAACATTGCTAAAAGCCGCGTAAAACAATACTCACTCCTAGTTCAGACTATTTCTGAAACCTTGCGTGAAATTATTTTAATGTATTTGGTGTATAGAGTAACATTTTTGGTTACATAAATTGGGTATTGAAAATATATGCAGCTTTAAGTGCAGAATTGCCTACACACATTGTTAAAATGTTTTGTTGGTGGAAGACAATATATTCACTGGTTGAATATGAATATCTTTGCGACCGACGTGAAAATAATTCGTCAGCGAGTCACGTGATACCCTAGAGATCTCGCGTGCATTGGAATGCAAGTACAGACATATTGCTAAACGGGTTAATGCATCAAACTTGCACGTTTACTAAACTAAGGGGCCGTTCATAATTTATGGCTAGGGGTGATGATTTTATGGAGAAGCATGTACATTGTGAATGCCCCCAAAAAAAACAAAAAAAAACAAAACAAAACAAAAACAACAACAAACAAACCCCAAAACAAACCAAAATTATGAAAAAAACACCAAACAAAACAAACAACCTTCCATAATTGTTAATATTGTTTAAATATTGATCCCGCTTGTACATGTGTACAAAAGTGAGGCAAGTCTAGATTTCCTCAGGTTCCTGAATCTCCCAGCTCTTGGAATCCTTTTCCATTTAAATTGGTTTATTTGTTACTTTCAAAATTATATATACTACAAGAACACCCTAAAATGTTAGTCAGATATATACTGAGTCAAAAAAGAAACTTCACATTCTTTTTTCAGGGCACTATAAAAGAACAAGAGATGGTAAGATGGTTAAATTGTTATTATTTCATTGCTGAGATCTGTGTGATGTACTCGATACACTGACAGTGCCATAATCAGTTCCATTAGGCTACACCGCCGTTCCAAAACATGGGTATACAGAATGTCAAGTCACAAGAATAAAAATGCGAAATTTCTCAGTTCAATATCGTGTATTCACCACTGCCAAACACCGTCTCCTCATCGACTGCCTGATGCTTGTGAACACGTGGTTGGGGATTCTGCGCCATTGCTCTTGCAAGGCAGCGCCAAGTTCCTGCAAATTCTGAGGTTGGTTCCTAAGACCACGAAGCCTTCTCCCAAGTGCATCCCAAACGTGCTCTATTGGATTAAGGTCAGGGGACCTCGATGGTCAGTCCATGACGTTGATTCCAGCGTTTTGAAGGAAATTTCGTGTCAACATCGCGGTATGCGGCCGAGCATTATCATGCTGGAACTGTAGACCTGGGCCATGAGCCGCCATGAAAGGAACGAGTTCAGGGGTGAGCACCTGGTCGCGGTAAGCAGCAGTTGTGAGGTTTCCACGGATGACCAGAAGTCGGGAACGATTGTTCCCACAGAAAGCACCCCACACCATGCAACTTCCGCCCCCGAATCTGTCGACTTCCTGTACACAACATTGGGCATACCGTTCACGACGTCGTCTCCAGACTCTATGCCTGCCGTCCGCGAATCTGAGGGTAAACCTGGATTCATCGCTAAAGACGACTCGATTCCAGTCTGTCTGGGTCCATCGGAGGTGACGTTGGGCCCACAGCAGACGTTGACGTTGACGTGATGAAACGGCGTCAAAATTGTCCCACGATATGGACGTCGAGAATGGAGATTGGCAGCCCGCAACCGATTTCGAATGGTCTGAGGACAGTCGACCTCTAAACATCTCAGCCCTGGTTCGTGTAGCCGGCAGAAATCTGTCACGTAGGTGACGTAGGACGATTTGACGGTCTTCTGCTCGTGACGTCACACGTGGACGACCCGACCTTGGGCGATCAGAAGTGGTGCCAGTTTGTTGTAGACGACCTCGCAAGTCATACACAGTACGACGGCTGCATCCCGTTGCTCTTGCGACGTCAATAACTGATCTTCCCGCTTGCAACATGCCAACGGCACGTTCACGTTGCACATTTGACAATCGTGGCATTTCAAGTACCGTTAGAACTGTGGTTAAAAGTGTTTTTTCAATTCTTGAGGCCAATGCAAACACGTGACTATGAAGAAAACTTCGATGCGAAGATCACGTGATCGACTGCACGTGCAAAACCTGATTTGGCACTAACGTCATTTGCACGACGAATGGATGGGTTTGAGTGGGTTTTGCTAACGTTTTTCTAGAGTCGAAAGATAGGGATCCCATTTCGGATACATAGATGTATCATCAGCGAAAAATTATTCATTATTTTTCAAATTACATTTTGTGAAGTTTCTTTTTTGACTCATATATATATATATATATATATATACTTAAACGTGGTGTGGTCATTTATACTATGAGGTGAATGCAACTTTTTGTGTGCTTAATGGGTACTTTAAACGACATGTTGGAATCTGCAGTGAAGCAACTGATTCAATATTCATTGAACTTGAGTGAAATGAAACTTTGAAACAGCGAAAAACAAGGGTCTGAAACGCACCAGCACCATGTTTGATTCAAACGCCCAAACACAACAGCCTAATGCATGTGGAAGAAAAACTTCTCATGCAGCTTGTAGCGGTTCACTCCCAAAAGACAGACCACCCGTAAGACACTCAATGAGTACACTAATTAGCTGAGCCATGCTGTCCACCCCTATTTAATTAATGAGCTGACCCAGAGTCACTACAGAGTATAGTAGCATATTACTAATCCTTTTACTGAACAGAACAGAACCGAAATGTTATTCTAAAAAATCAGTGACACAGAACATAAAGCATATTGATACATATTAAAACATTGAACAAAGTCCAGTTTTGATAAATTTAACCACTTTAGAGTTAAGAAGTGAATACTCACATTTCATTAGATAAACAATTTTTTCAATAGTAGGATGTTTACAGAAACATTGGGAAAGAAATTGATTTCTGAGGGCATTTAGTGCTGGACAGTATAATAAAAAGTGAAGTTCATCACAGACATATAAATTCACATTATGTTTCCATTCTTTACAATACTGGTTAAACACATTCAAATTTTTTTGCAATCCATCACTTATTTCAGCTAATATGACAGTATCGTCAGGCTGTCAGCGTAAAGTAATATCAACAATTTCATAAAGATACCAAGCTGGCCCTCAAGCTTATTTACATGTTTGAGGCCAGTTAAACTATGTTCATAAAGAAAACACTCAACATCATACAAGTAGAAATAACTGGAGAATAGGACGTTTTTATAACAGTTGTTGAATTAGTTTTTGCAAATAACTGGAGAACAGGATATTTTTTATTACTTAAGATTATTTGAAGATGAAAGTGAAATAGTATTTATAAAATTCAGTATAAACAAAGTATATAACTGGAGAACATGTTTTATAATAGCTATTTTTCACATGACTTTTCCCGATCACCCATCTAGATGGCTTCCTGTATGTCAAGAACAAGGTGAAAGGAGAACATGATGATGTTCAAGTGACTTTCTAATAAGTGTTATCTGTTCACTGACAAACATGTGATGTAAACTAATATGGTGCTTGGTCTCACATGTTTGATAGGTACATGTGTATAAATTATTGTTTTGGATAATATTACAAGTAAATGTGATCTGGCGAATATGTCGATGTGCATATATGTTGATGCAATATGTCTTAATTTAAAAATCATAATTCATTACATGAATTGCTAAAACTATAGTTAATACCTAATGTTGTCTTTTTTATCTGGGCACATACCATTATTATCAAGGGTACAGCTTAAGCCTTATGCAACCAACCATAAAATGTGTTTTAAGTGGTCTGTCTTTGGGAGGTCTGTCTTATGGGAAGATACCCTTGTAGCAACTGGACACTGGCAGTTGTGAATCGGTTCCGAAGGGCTTGGAGCACAACATATCGGTCATTTGCCCTTGATGTTTTTCTGGGTCTTCCAGAGCGAGGTCTGTCCTGTACTCTACCAGTGGCCTGGAATCCGTCCCTCAGTTTGTGAATGACAGAGGGAGACACCTGAAGACGGCGAGCAACACTTCTTGTGGATTCGACCGCCTCCGTGGTGTAGTGGTTAGAGCGTCCGCCCGGAGAGCGGAAGGTTGCGGGTTCGATCCCCGACTGCGTCATACCAAAAGACGTTAAAATATGGTACTTGTTGGTCCCTGCCCTCCGCTCGGCATTAATGGGTACAACAAGGACTGGTCGGCTCGGAGTCAGTATAATGTGTCTGAATGGGGTATTCATGCTTCACTGCGGCGTGGTATCTCAGTGGACTAGCACTATAAAACCAGCTTAAGTCTGGGCTACACAAGCAGCCGCACATACACATACACATGCATGCACGTCGTCATATGAGCGAAATATTCTCAAGCACGACGTAAAACCCAATTTCACCTCACCTCACTTTAACACGAAAAAATTCGGATCGGCTGAAAAGTAGGTCATTGTCTGAATAGGTTAATGACTCGTGTTTCAGTTTGCAATGATCAGCATCATGAACATCGATCAACTGTGGGACACGATGACACGTGTCAACCAAGTCGGCGAGCCTGACCACCCGCTCCCGTTGGTCGCCGCTTGCTACACGAATGGGTTGCTGAAGACAATTCTATTCGGGATATCCACAGGTGGTCAGGAAGTGAACGCTTAAATAAAAACAGATTGGTACGGATTTTAAGAGGTCATGCTACAGAGCGTTGGGTATGCCCATCTCGAGCTACACGGGGATTTTGTCAGTTACTAACCACTGCATTTTGCCGACTTGTCATCTCTAATCTACACGTTATGAATTGTATCCTGCGTGTGTTCTGTAATCTTAATTTCAAGCTTCATCAAACTGTTTCAGTGTGCCTCCTGTCTCCACAATTCCATGTATGAAACTGTCATATCTCCCCCAAAACGACCAGGTTCAAGAGCTTGCTTTTGGCGAAGTTTCGACTGGTCTCCAGCGTCGTCTCTATCCTCGAAATGAACGTTTGGAAAAGGACAGCTGCTATCCGTATTTCACTTTGAAGTGCTGGGACATTTTCGTAAGGCAAGTTGAAATGGGTATACTGGATCATGTGGACACGTGAAGATCCTGGTTAGAATTGATCTTCAGTAACTCATGCTTGTAAGAGGCGACTAACGGGATTGGGTGATCAGGCTCGCCGACTTGCTTGACACGTGTCATCGTATCCCAGTTGCGTAGATCGATGCTCATGCTGTGGTTACTGGTCCAGACTCGATTATTTACAGGCCGCCGCCGCCATATAGCTGGAACATTGCGGAGTGCGGCGTAAAACTACTCACTCGCTCACTTCATGAAGATTGGGTCATTGTCAGATTCAGATTAGCAAATGTACAAACCATTAATTGGCATCTGTTGCAATGATATTCATCATGACACATATTGATGGACTTTATGGCATAAGTCGGTGATGCATATATTAATAGAATCAGTTTGTGGAAAGTATGTATGCGTGTACATCATGGGGGCGGTGGGTAGCCTATTGGTTACAGCGTTCGCCGGCCAAGCAGAAGACCCGGTTCATTCCCCACATGGGTACAATGTGTGAAGCCCATTTCTGATGTCCCCGCCGTGATATTGCTGGAATATTGCTAAAAGCGGCGTAAAACTAAACTAACTCACGCAAATGTAAATTATGATCAAGCTGATTGTTGTCAAATGTACTGTTTCCACTGCATTTCTTGGTTAGATCATTCATTTAATTGCCTGGTTTTTGCAGATTTCCACTCCAGGGCAATATGCTTTGCTTCATTCTGAGGCTTTGGAAAGCATCACTTTGGCATTGGCAGAAAACAGCTGTGGGGCCCCAATCCACACACTAGTGGATGTGAAGTCAAAGTCGAGCAGAAGAACCGTAGGCTTTGCATTGACTGTCTCTTGAAAGGAACAAATGGTATGTTGGTAAACAAGTCTCCACAGTTGATCATTAACAGGTTGAACTCCAGGTACACTAGAAAGGCTATGACGGTATGATTTGCCTAGTGTCCAGTTGAAATATGACCCCCAACTTTAGACCTGTTTGAAAGAATTCTCGATCAGCAAGATCTTGCATAACCACCCAATCCCCAATTGATTTATATTTCAAGAATATGGGCTGTTCTGCCTCAAACTTGACAGGTTGATGAGTTAAGGATAATACATTTAGTAAAGATCACGATAACACAAATATCAGCAGTACCTCAAGTAAGTCACTCTATGATGAAAATTACCGTTTGATAACGTACGTATGAAACTACCCTTGGTGCAATTTCTGAGAGAAACTTGAGGCAAACCTTAGAAATTTGAGTTTTTAAGAATAGTCGTAATAGTTAGCTAATTATTCTATGGTTAGATCATATATTTGTTATTCCTGCAAGGATTATAGGATCCTTACAGTCAACTGACAACCATGAGACCATTGGAAAGGATATGTAACGTTGTTTGTCACCGGAAGTACTAAACAACGTAAGGTCTCGCGATGTGCCGTGACCTACTTACGGGCCGTATTTTCACTGGTCCTCGGGTGTTGGCAGCTATACCCACTTTTAGCAGTACAAACATGTTTACTATGTTTTAAAGTTTCTGTTGGTTGTATTCAGTTCCAATTAGGCAACATTGACTCATTTAAAAGTAGTTTAAAATTGTCCTTCGAAAACACCACTCGCTAATGAGCCATCGTTTGATTGTTTACTTGTCAGCACTCAGTCTTGGACTGGTATGAAAGTTAAGACTGACATGAACAGGTTATGAAATCCACACGTGTGAAATATGTGCATGTTTTGGTGTAAGTTCATAGATAATTAACATTCATACCTGGTTATTTATTTATTTGAAGAGTATATATATTGAGTTTCTGTGATGAAAATTGGAATTACCGTTTGATATGCATGAAACTATCCCAGATCCCAGATTTTACCCGCTATAACATAATGGCGCGCATTGCCTGACCATCAGAAGTGACTCGAATGCACATTATACCTTGGCAGAACCGCATTTTCAAGGGCTTTCCGATACACTAAAAGTATAAATATTAACACTACAGGTATTGCTGTTATGGTTAGATTCCAAACTATTGTACTTTTTTAAGTTCTGTCAAGCATATTCATTCCTGTATTGCTCAAATATCTAATGTTGCACAACATATTTCATATTTCCAGAATCCCACATAAATGATCTTACACATGCACTAAAGATGTAAATATATAGTCGGTGTACAGATTCCTCTAAATTCCGCCAATCTATATCACGTCCCATATATTTTGCAGTTCGCACATTAATACTTATATAGCTCTACCACTGAATGTGTAACATGTGCGTATTAAACATTGTCTAAAACACGCCTTAAATGGCTTTCACACGCGCTATAGAAATGTATTTTCTGAGGTGATGTGTAAGAGTAGTAGCCGTTATATCATGACTGCACGATGTTGGCGAAAGATTGCTTTATCACAGAAGAATTGAACTTCAGTAAATTTACACAAAACATCACGGAGTTTCAATCTGGACTGGTTACCAGGGGGCAGCACAATATTCACGTTTGCATATTTGGAGAGAGCGTTTCCTCAGGTTTCCATCAATGTATAACATGCATAGATATGACAAAGTAGAAGGCTTCCAAAATGCAATGGCGCAGACGGCTTCCACCGGAGGCTGGGTGGAACAAATTTCTTCCACCGGGACCTACGTGGAAGAAAAACACACAGCTATAAATCACAGAAACCTTAATCGCTCGGCTATAAAGTTACATAAAAACAAACGGAAACATTCTCCGTGTAGCTCTAGGACACAGCTATCCAACGACACGCGGCATGCGCGTGCAAGACGATTTATGCAGCTCCCAAGGGAGCCGTGCTGAAATAGGGGATACAAACTGTGGGTGCCCATGTTCCGTCAGTGTTACGGCAGATATAATTTCAATATCCGTTATCCGAAAGCCGTTGAAGATGCGGTTCTGGCAAGGTATAATGTGCATTCGAGTCACACCTGATAGTCGGGCTATACGCGCCATTACATTCTGCTGATACCGGATCAAATCTATGATCTGGCGTGCATGGTCCGTCGGCCCGTCGGCGTTATGACAGCTATAATTTATCACAAAAGCCGCCTCTATTGTCACTTAATTAGCTGTATATCACACTCTATATATCACATCTACGTATCATCATTGTTTTATAACGTCTGTTTGATCTGTCCTCATGGATTGGTTGTATATACATGCACATCTCTAGCTTCCTGTAAATCTAATTATCACTTCATTAGCTGTATATCACTCTGCTGTGTTCACTGTTTAGTCTGAGGCGTGGCAGGTAATTGCCGGAGATGTACCACTAATCAGCAAATTTATTTTCGTCACCTGTTTTGCTCACGTTTTGTTAATATCACTTTGCCTGGGGCCACCTCCTTTTGATAAGCAGCTTTGTGATTTTATAATCTTATCGCCCGACTGATTTCAACCTTGTGCATAGAATGCTTGGTTTTCTTTGGCATGGGCAATTCACACCTTTTGGCATGTCCTTGCCCCTCCAAATGGACGTCATGCATAGAATGGAGATGGGCAATTCACAATTTCCTCCTCGCCCTTAAAAACATCCGACTTGGTCAAATGACAGTGAGCTTCATCTAAATCATTCCATCGGCTATCTGGCTGGGACGTGGTAATATAAGTGAATGCTCACGAGTGTCTTAGTGGACGATTACCAGTCGGCGTTGACGATCCCTATTGGCCAGTCAACTTTACTTTTATTACCTTTTGCTTGTTTTTAATAAGTCATCTACGCTGCTCAATATATCAAACTGATACATAGCATAAATACGGTATAATATAATAAAATATCCAAGTACAAAACTGTGACATCCAGGCCCTTTTCTGTAGCGCCCAGAAACATAGAACAGTGAATTTGTGCCAATATGCCTTCCACAAAAGTATCAGTGATTTAAGTGCAAAACATACTACAAAGGCGATGCGCATTTAAAGAAATGTTATCCTAACAGTTCTATTGCTGCTATAAACGCCATACATGCCCAAAATCGCCACCAGAGCGAGTCTTATACCGCTACTCAGCTTGTATCCATGTCGGCTCTAATGACATTTTGTGGCACATACACCATCAACAAAACCCAAATCCCTGAGTACATCAGGGTACTAAAATACTTTGGTCATACAATACAAGGAGAGGACGCACCTTTCGCCTCGCCTTCAAATAATAATCCAATGCCGAGTACCAGTACTGGTTTAACTGGGTCGACCAGAAGTGGTACTCGGTATAATTACCAACACAACTCAGTCAGGGCTAATCTAACACTGGCTTATATGATAGGTTCCCTGAAAGTGAACCCACACTTTCAGGGTTTAAGGAATATTTAACAAATATTCTTAAAAGCAGGGCTGGTGAAACATGTCGCCGCCTTTCTATAATATCCAAAAACATGCATTCCCAAATAGTAATATGGCTTGTATCAATTTTGATATATTTGTTGGTAGCACGTAGATGAAAATACATCATTTTAAGTTGGTACTTTGTTTCAAAAACGGTTTCTTCAGCCAGAGGTAAGGGGGTACACAGGTTTATCCTGTCTCGCTGACATGTAATTTGGGATAATGCTTTCTCACAAGACATCCACGAGCTTCCTGGTCAGCATAACCTTGTGCAAAGAGGAGTACAACATGTTCAGGGATTACCGTGGTGACATGCCTCAAGACGTCAGCCGGAGTGGAAAACATGTCCCTCGAGTTGGCCCGCTTGCAGAGGATAAGAGGTTTCCTTAAAACCAACGAGGGAAACAAACGTAGGACATATTGAGCCACGGATGTTCGAAAAGCTTTGGAGACTGAAGTGGCAAGGCAGCATCCCAATGAGGCTGCAAAACGTAAGATGGCCAGTGACTATCTTGCACATGGCCGAAGAACAGTACGTAAATACTATGCTAAAAAAACACCCTTACAGGCTGCTAGTGAGTGAGTGCATTTGTAGAGGGTGTCATCAAGCAAGCAGCTAGTACATCAAACGTTGAGGGACCTGTCTCTGCGTCAATTCCAACAGATTCCTCCAACCCCAGCCCCCCCAACCCCCTGAAGGTAGGGAGAAGGGAAAGGCAAAAGTAAAGGCAAAGGAAAACTCATCAAGCCCAAAAGGTAAGAAATTAGGTGGATAGTGGAAGGTAGGGGAAAAGGTAAAAGTAACAGGGAAACATGATCAAACCATGATCAACTATAGGATAGAAGTAATAGGATATAACCTGTAATTCCATAACCTATATTACTGTCGGAAATAGAAAAAAAAAAAAACCTGTTTTTGGGACAGCTATCCAACGACACGCGGCATGCGCGTGCAAGGCGGACTATGCAGCTCCCAAGGAGCCGTGCTGAAATAGGGGATACAAACTGTGGGTGTCCATGTTCCGTCAGTGTTACGGCAGATATAATTTCAATATCAAGATTTATCCGAAAGCCGTTGAAGATGCGGTTCTGGCAAGGTATAATGTGCATTCGAGTCACACACCTGATAGTCGGGCTATACGCGCCATTACATTCTGCTGATACCGGATCAAATCTATGATCTGGCGTGCATGGTCCGTCGGCCCGTCGGCGTTATGCGACAAACTATAATTTATCACGAAAGCCGCCTCTATTGTCACTTAATTAGCTGTATATCACACTCTATATATCACATCTACGTATCATCATTGTTTTATAACGTCTGTTTGATCTGTCCTCATGGATTGGTTGTATGTACATGCACATCTCTAGCTTCCTGTAAATCTAATTATCACTTCATTAGCTGTATATCACTCTGCTGTGTTCACTGTTTAGTCTGAGGCGTGGCAGGTAATTGCCGGAGATGTACCACTAATCCAGCAAATTTATTTTCGTCACCTGTTTTGCTCCACGTTTTGTTAATATCACTTTGCCTGGGC